AAGACAAGTTGGATATTAAAATACTATAGAATCAATTATGTACCAGCCTTAATCCTAGAGAAGAAATCTCCAATTATGTTGTAAACACTAAGACAACCCAGATATTGACTTACAGCTAATATGTACTACATGTGACAACTATATCTTTATTAATGGTAGAAAAGAATTCCACAGTAATTTTATAGAGTTGCCTATCAAAACATTAACAAAACTTTATGGTTATGCTATTAAAGATATAAGGGTAAGGAATGGGAAAATTTTGAAATCTTAAACTATGATATGAAGAGAGAGAAATAGTACAAAGGATTCTCTTAGGGAGTAGAAGGATGTTTATAGAATTAGGTAAAGATAAAGGGGGAAACTGTTGAGAAATAGTATATAAAATAAAAAGAGGGAGAAAAAAGAAATTATAAAGCAAAAATAAGAGAAAAAATAAAGGGAGAAAATTTTTAAAGGAGAAGAGGGGGAAAAGATTAAAAAGCAAGGAAGAGGGGCAAAGGAAAACTTCTCAAGCCCCAATAAATTGGTACAAAGAAAGGAGGAAGGGAAAGAAGAGAAAAAGATTTTTAAAACATAAACCTAAAAACAATGCACAAACAAAAAATTTCTCTGTGATTTTGAATGTGTGGTTTGCTTCCAATATACGCAATTTGAGGGCAGTGTCCAATTTAAGACATATCTTTGCTCACTCTGGTAGATAAAGTAGGCAGTCAGACCCCGGATCAGATGGATGCAGGCACCAGCAGGCAGTAGAATTGGGATGAGGGTACCAGTTCTTTGACTTTTAAATCCAGAGCCGTTCAGGCTGAACCTAGCCTCTGGCCATGGGTGCGCAGCCTGTATTCTTTAGTTTAAACTCCTCAGGGGGGTCTTTTGCCAGCTGGATCAAGGCTCCCAGACCACAGCTGTCTCACAGGGCTGTCCCTCACCCAGTCACTGTGGCAACATAACACTTGGAGCTATGAATTGAAGTCATCCTATAGCTGCTCTGAGTCCCTGGTTCGGTCAACCCCTCCCTGGAATGGTGTCCAATCAAGCACTCTCTCCAGGCAGTGTGGCAGATGCTTGGGCTGTATTCACTCACCAAGTATTGCAATTCACAGAACCTGCTGGCCAGTTCCACCAGTGTGATTCTCCCTGAAGCACTCTGGAGTCCTTGCTTTCATTTGTCTCTATAGATTTGGTCTTCCTTTCTTGAGAGCCAAGAACTGGGCATTGGGGAAAAAGCACAGATTGTCCTTTCCCTTTTCCATGCTATGTTCTGTCTTTTCAATTGCTCTGTAGGTTTTAATTTTTCTGTCACATCCTTCCTGGTTCCCAGGGATCTACTTCCCCTCACACCCCCATAGGTTATTTTCCAGTGTCTGGATTCCAAATCTCAGAAAGACTAAACTGTTGCTGTTATTGTTCCATTATTTTTCCAGAAGAGAAGAAACATTTTTTTAAAATCAGTAAGATGAGTACATTTTTTAAAAGGCTCTATGAGACAACAAAAGAAATCAATCCATAAAAAATAAAAATTAGCAGACACAACAAAGTTTGCATATATCTGTATACCATTTATGTAATTTAAAAATATAAAATAGTGGACCTGGGATTTAGCTCAGTGGTTTTGCTGCCTGCTGCACAAGTGCAAAGACCCGAGTTTGTTCCCAGTACCAAAAAAAAAAAGAAAAAAAATTACATATATAAAATAGTATCATGTATAGATACATATTAATTTAGTGAAAGTAGAAGCTGTATAGAAATCAATCATACCAACTCCATGGTTAACTCTGGACAAAAAAGGGGAAGAGAGTATGTCAAGAAAAGCCTGCAGAACTGATCCAGATTGAAGAATTGAGCAATATGCCACTTGGGTGCAGAATTGAGCAATATGCCACTTGTGATCTTGGCTTGGGTGCCTTTGCTATAAAGACATTATTGGAACAATTGACTGAAGCCTGAATAGGATTTCCAGGCAAAAGGTCTACAAAACATTTTGTACCATTCTTGCTTTTTTGCTAGAATGAGAATATTTGAAAAAAAAATTTCGAATAAGAGAAGTGAGATGTTTTAGAGAAGAAAATGTCAGAGCTAGATCAGTTGGAGGTGGCAAATAAAAGAAAATCAAAGAGTATCATTTGCTTAAGTGATTTTGTATATGATTCAATTAATCAATATAGGAAACTCAGAAGAGCAAGTTAGAGGAAAAGCAAACTAGAATGGGCTCACCACTAGAAATTTTGACTATGAGAGTAAATAGGTGTTTGGAAATTTAGGTTGGGGGTGAGGATGTCACAAAAGAACTTTAGAATTATATACATCTTGATATGATTACATTATTCATTTAGCAATTTATCTAAAAATCTACTACATTAATAGGAATGTGGAACCTAAAAATATACAATGGTTGTTGCCCTTGAGGGCCTCATCTCTGGTAAGAGAAATGGAATCTATATATGGGCAGAGTCTGATTAATTTAGTTCTAGAAGATGCTGACTTTATTCTCAACCTTGGCCACATGTTCGAATCAATTGAGGGAGCTTCTAAACATCCCAGTGCCCAGTCACACTCTACAGGTGGGATCCAACCATCAGTGGTTATGTACCCTCTCCAGGTGGGGACGATGTCCAGGCCAAATTAAGGGAACAGTGGCTCTACTCAGAGAACACCTGAGACCTCTCATTTTTAAAACATTTGGCCTTAACAAGGAAAGGAGTTTGGAGGACAGAGGGTGGAAATAAGAGAATTTGGCTAAAGAAATTACTTCCAAAATTTATGAGTTATAATTTCTCTGTAAAGAAAAGGTATCAAAAGCTAAGAAAAGAAAAATATGGTAGGAATTTTAAGGAGAACAGTAAATAAGATTATAGCTCTGCAGGGCTCAAAAGAAAAAAGTGGGGTTTTTTTGTTTTCCAAATCTGGGAAAATTTAAACACTTGAGGAAGATAATCCAGGGTTCTTTCCCCCAGTGGTGGATGTGGTGGTATGACCATTTTTAAAGATGGGCATTGGGCATGGCAATATAAAATATACCTATTTTAAATAAAATATACCTACTTTAAAGATAGAGATCTGGAGATAGGTGAAACATAAGCTAAGATGAAAGATTTGCAATATTTCAGAGTGAGGAGATTCTATGAGGTTGGGGTTACTCTAGAAAGAGGTGGCTGTTTTTGTCACTACAATAAAGAATAAAAGAACACAAATATTTTTGTGTCATCTGAGTGTCTTTATAATGCTTTTACTGTACTTATCTTTCAACCTTTAACAACAGCTATTGCTTCTGTGACTGCTTTTTCAGTGTTGAAGCCTGAATGGCAGCTTATTTCATTGCCTTCTGGGCCTGCATTTTCCCAGGCCCATTGTATCAGTCAGTGCTCACTAGAGAAACAGATTTAATACAATATATATAGCTTTACAAGGTCAGCTTACAGAGGTCACCTGCAGAGTCAGGTGTGGAAGAGTGCAAAGGGGCTATGTACTGGAGATCTGAAGGATCCAGTCAAAAGTCAAAGGCCTGGTGCTCTCTTTAGAGCCTCCTAGGAGTTGGTATCAGGAAGTGGAAGGCCCTGTGCTGGAAGACTGAAGAGTCTTCGCGGGGAGCCAGGAGGTAGCCATTCAAGGCTATGGCAAAGACTGGAGCTCCTCTGAAGAAACAAAAGCAAGACTTGGTTCTTTTTTCCCTTTTTATTCTGTTCAGGCTACAAACCTATTGGTTGGTGCTACCCACACCCAAGGTGGCTCTTCCATCTTCAGTAAATCTATTTGGTCAAGACCAGAACTATGCTAAGGCAATCAGTGTGTTTCTTACTCAAGTCGTAACAGTTAACTATCACACCCATTGTAACAAAAGGGCACAACCACACAAAATATATAGTGTCTCCTTCCATGCGTGTGTACCTGTTTTAAGCTGTCAGGGAACAGATTTCACATCATATTCTCATTTATTACCAAAATTGGTCATGGTGAACTGTTAAGAGCTATCTTATCTCACCATTTTATAACCCATTGTGTCCCCAGCATCGGGCCCCATTGTCTGTAGAGCAGGAACCTAGTGTTCATCTGTGGTCCAGTGTGCAAATGCTGCCATAGTAAAGAAGTCACAAAATTCTTGTGGCAGTAAATAGTTATAATTCTGCTGGGAGTGGAGAAGACCCTAAAGGTTATCAAGTAATGGGATTAAGATTTTGCTAGCTAGGCTTGGTGGCATGTGGCGGTAATCCCAACAACACTCAGGAGACTAATGCAGGCAGATGAAGGCCAGCCTGGGCTACACAGTGAGTTCAAGGCCGGCCTGAACTACATAGAGACCCTGTTTCAAAAAAGGTTTTTAAAAATTTTTTATAACAGCCTAGTATCTCCAGCACCTGGCACACAGTAGGTGCTCGATACGTAGTGCTGAACGAACAACAGGGACGAAGGGAAGTAAATTCAACCCTATTCTGCAGTCCTTTGCCGAGTATCTTATCCAGCCCTCAGGGACCCAGGGGGCGCGCCGGGTGCTCCAGGATATCGGGCCAGTTGGTTCTCATTTCATCGATACTGCAATCGTATGCTGTAATTCCCATATTTCCCCCTAAAGGGTGGAACTAAGGTCATCTGCGCTCTCGGTCCTCAGAGGTTCACCACGAGCGTGGGGCAGCGGGGGCGCTCCCTCGGGTTTCCCGGCCAGGGCCCCGGCGGAGCTCCCGGCGAACCCCGCTGCTGCGCCGCTACACGCCTCCAGGGGACGCTGTTTCCACGGCAACCTCGATAAAGGCTCCGCCCCTCGCTCGGTGCTCACTTCCCTCGCAGAGGAGCCGGCCGCGCCTGGCAGAGCTGACCGCTGGGGTCCAGGTTGCCGGCCGCGCCCCGTGTCGACGCTAGTGGCTGCTCTCCGGGCCCCACGGGCCGGGCTTCTGGGCGGCCGAGAGCGTGCAGCCTGCTCTGAAGCGCCCCTTCTCCCCTCGCCCCGCCCCGTCCTCCTGCCTGCCTCCTCCCCCGCCCGTCACGGAAACGACAGCTGCGGCGGCGGGGCTAGCGCCGCCTCCCTCACCGACCACGTCTGTCCCGGCCGCCGCCGCGCAGCCGCCTCCCTGCTAGCTCACCCGGCTGCAGCGCCCGGTGCTGCCCAGCATGAACATCATGGACTTCAACGTGAAGAAGCTGGCGGCCGACGCGGGCACCTTTCTCAGCCGCGCCGTGCAGGTACGCGGCCGGGGAAGCCATGAGGGAGGCGCGGCGCCGCCTCTCCCGGCCCCGACCCTGGCCTCGGCCTGCGGTGCCCCCGGGCCGGGCGGGAGCAACCTTCGCCCCCCCCCACGAGCCGCCACGCGGGGTGGGGACCCCGACTCCACCGGGTCGCAGGCGCCGCCCCGCCCGCCTTTCTGATCCCCAGATGCGACTCGGATGACGTCCGACCCCGGGCTGGCGGAGGCCTGGCGAGAACTCGCGACCTTTCTTGCGCCACCCCCAGCCTTCCCGGTCGTCTTTCCCCTCGCAGAGCCCGAGCCCGAGGAGGGCGTTTCCTTTTCCTGCCCCTCAACCCGGAGAGCTGCCCACGCGGTTCCCCTCTGCACTCTCTCCTCGGAGGGACCGTCTGGGGCTTGGCAGCCTGCGGGGGAAATGGAGATCGCCTGCGGTGTCCAAACTTTGCCTAGGACCCGGAGTTTAGGGGGTTCTCATTCTCCAGAGCGCAGCCCCGGAGCGAGGAGAAGGGGGAGACCCGTGTTATTGTGGCTGTGGTTATAGGGGTATATTTCAAATGCATTCCAAGAGGAAATGTCTACCTTCTCGGTATTTTTCGATCAAGGAAATGTCAGTGGTAGGGAACTTGGACGACTTTCCACAGTCCTCACCCACATTATGCTAACTCAGTTAAATCTACGAACGGATGTAAATTTCACAACATGGATTATAAACAATCTGGTGTTTAAGTTAATGACAGAGTAGCAACAGCATTCTCTTCGGTAAGGAGAAAACAAAAACAAACTTCTAATATACGTATCAAATTAGTACTGAAATTTAAATCTCTTCCATCGATTTACTACTTTCCTTGTCTCCTTTACCCCAGTTTTATTGGCACGGTTGATCTTACATTGCATTATCCTTGGTAAAAGAATGGAAGAGTTAGAGCAAGTAAATAGCTGCTTATATTATTAAAAAAACTCTATGTCAAGCACTTTGCTATGCATTTGATGTATTTTCTCCAGTCTTTTCTTTCCCTTTGCCAGGGAGATGTTAACACACACGCCCACCTTTATCTATATATGGTATACTTGTATAAGGAAGCAGCCTCCGAGGTTAAATAACTTGCTTAACTTGCATGGCTAGTAAATAACCAGGTGCTGACTGACCTACTACTGCAAGTTGCTTTCTTTTTCTGGATAAGTATTGCAGGTTTACGATATATAGAATAGTAGGATATTGTGGCCTAGAGAAAGAAACCTTAAAGGTCAGCTAGTACAATCTCAGCATTTCGTTATCAACAGCAAATAACACTTGATGGGAAATTCCTTCTACTTTTTGATTTCCTAGTTTCTAAATCTGCCTGCTGAGTAAGAAGCTAGTTGCCTTAACTGTTTTCCACCCATCCCTCCCTAAAATATACAGATGAGTGACTGAGGGTCTGAAATCTATTTTGGTTTGTAGGACACTCATTTATATCAGTTAGGGAGCTATGGCCATAGGACAGGCAAAAAGTTATTGTGACTTAAATGACAGTGGTAGGGAGGGGAAGTTCAAAATCAATCTGTACTGGCTGTCAGCTTGGCTCAGGGCTATACTGAGAGAAAGAGGAGTCAAGGATGATTTTATTTAAAAAGAAAAAATTTTCAGGAGAAACAGGCCTTTTAATGTGTCCTTTTATATTGTCTGTTACTTTTAGATATGCATACTGAAATATTTACAGATAAACATAGCTTCTCTGAGATTTTAAAAAAAATATTTCAGAAGAAAAAATGAAGGTAGTTAAAACAATACTAGCCAGGAGCCAGGCATGGTGGTACATGCCTGTAATCCCAGCAGTGGAGTAGGCTGAGTCAGGAGGATCTCTCGAGTTCAAGGCCAGCCTGAATTACCTAGTGAGATCCTGTCTCAAAAATAAAAAAAAATAAGATTAGCAGAATGTTGTATCTAAGTTATGTATTAATGAAGTTCTATTATGGTATAATACTTTTCATTATACTGTTAGATTTTTATATATGTTTCACATTTTCCACACTTCTTTTTTAAAAATAAAACTTGTAAGGAAAAAGGTGCTTCTAAAATACAATGTGAAATTTGAAATGAATGCGCTGTTGTAATTTTCAACAAAACACTGCTTTTTCATTTCAATGTTTAGTCGATAGCTGAATTCCTATTCTAAATTGAGTTGACATCAATATAAATGTCACAGTACCAAGATTCATGCTAAGAATAGTTAGAGCTATGCCAGTAACTCTATAAGCAGTAAGCATAGCAGGGAGAGAATTAAGCTTTCTCTTTATTAAATAATTATCATTTAAATCAAATTGTACTTTAACAATTCTCCCATTGGTCACCTATCACATTTTTTAATTTTATGTAAATTTTAAATTAAAAATTAAACTTCCTTTAAAAAAAAAAGTCAACTCAAATTACTGAAATGTATAAATGGGGGTCATTCCATTCTAAAATTTGTTTATAAACCTTGATACTTTAAAAAGAATGTTAAGGTAGAATGTATAAATGAGTTGGAATATTTATTCTTAATCTGGGTACTGGTTGTTCTTTACTTCAAAATAGGATACAAAGCATTTTTTAGTTTATCTTCGCTAAATTATTTTACTCGTGTCTTAATAGCAGTTTAATAGTTCTTAGAATCAATCTTTTCAGCCTAAACTCCTTGGTTGAGCATTAAGTAATTCTTTACCATCTGATCTTCTCTCTCGGTTATGTAAAAACTGTATTCTGATATTTTTAACTTCCAAACTATCTTGTACTTGACTAACTCCAGGCTTTTGTTCATGGAGATGAGTAAACTCATTATAAATGTCCTCCCTCCTTTTCTGCTAATTTTTCCTTCCTTCAAGTCCATCTTCTCAAAGCAGAAGAACTTAATGGGAAATTCTGTGTCACTTTTCAGTTTTGTATTATGTAGCATTTTTCTTCTAATGAATTACTATGTAAGGTCCCTTGAAGCTCTAAAATTCCATGACTCTGGTTTTCACCTCTTTAATTAGATTGTGTATCCTAAGGAATCAACTCTTGCTTTTTCCTCTCTCACATAATACATCATCTTAATTTTTATATTTTAGCCAATCAAATTATTACCCATATGCAAATTTTACTCAGTGAATGGCAACAAGAATTATTTGACAAGTTAAATAATTTTATTATCTCTATTTTTTTCAACATTATGTACAGTAGCTATCTTGAGTAATGCTAGAGGGAAATCACTAAATTGTTCGATAGCCTACATTTTTAGAGTACCTCCTGTGCAATTGGCTTTGAAAGATACATTGGTAAATGAGACCCAAGTATCTGTCCATAGGGACTTCTTAGTTTAGAACCACATTTATCCTAGTTGAATACTTTTATTTTTGGTGCCAAATATTCATTTGTAAATTACTGTTTTTTTGATAAACTTTTCAAGTGGATAAAGGAATAAGAAATACATTTTTAATTTGACTTGATATTAAAGCAAATCTGTGCTCACTATTTTTAAAATAAAAGCATATACTTTCTAAATTTTTTCAAACTAAATTACTTAGGGAGAGGGTTTATTTTAATTTTCTAACATTTTTTCTGAAGTTATTATGAATATTATACAATGAATTTTATGAAAACCAGCCATTTTCTAAAGAAAAAATGTCTTCAAAATAGTTCTGAGGTTGGGGGCCGGGCATTTAGCTCAGTGGTTTTGCTGCCTGCTGCGCAAGCGCAAGGACCTGAGTTCGATCCCCGGTACCAAAAAAAGAAAAAAAAAATAGTTCTGAGGTTGGCCTTGATCTTCAGTTTATTTCAGCAAACACAGTGGTGTGTCTAAGCTGGAGGTGGAAAGATGAATATGATGCTGCCACCAACTAGCTCCTGTTAGACCCTACCTGGAGCTCTACTTTGGCCAAACAGTTCTCTCACCCTTCTAAAGTCTTGTTTCCTTTATAGAATTTAAATTGTAATATTTTGCCTTGTCTCACATTTTAATAAAGCATGCCTCATTCAAAATCCATAAATTTTCTCATGATATAAAAACATGTTTACTGTTACTTAAAACTATGTTTACATACTTTTGGTGTTATTAGTGTTAATTTAATAAACTGTAGAACATAGTTTGTTAATCTGAACTTTATGTTCCTGTACAGCATAAATTAAGTATTTAGAAAATCTAAAAGATTGTTTTCAATTTGTCCTATTTCTTAAGTATTTTTAAGGTAATGCCAAACTATAAATGTCTCTAAAGTCGTCTCCCGCCCTGTACCGGGGATCAAACTCAGGACCTTGCACTTGTGAGGCAGGCTCAGAGCCACTGAGCTAAATCCCCAGCCACTAAAGTCCTTTTTATTAAACCACACCCAGTCAGTGTACTCCTATTTGCTGCGCTATTATGTTTAAAATTAACAGACAACTAAGCCAATTACTTAAATATATTTTGAAGACAAATTAATGATCGAACAACACCACAATATGTTTGAAGCAAATCTCCAGCATACTGAAGTGACAATACTAGCAACCAGAATTTCTAAATGGGCCAAAGAAGGAACTGATGCCCACTGCACTCAACCCAAGTGACGCATATTTTAATAATTACTTATGAATTTAGAACAGTGGTTCTCAGCCTTAACTGCCCTTAACATTTACCCAGGGAATCTTTAAAAATGCCATTATAGTGCCAGGGATTTAGCTCAGTGGTGCTGCCAGCTGCCTCACAAGCTCAAGGTCCTGACTTTGATCCCCAGTACGTACCAAGAAAAAAAAAAAGCCATTATAGTGACTGCAACTTAGTTCGATGACTTTAAAATCTTAGACATTGGATCAGGCAGCAGTGTTTTCAAAATTCTCCCCAAGTAATGCTAAAAAGCCAAAATTGAGAACCAAAGGAGAAAGATCTACTTTATGATTTATTAATATATATTCAGAATTTATTATGTATTCTCCCCCAAGAAACTTAGATTACTTTGAGTATTATTTTTACCTTAGAGAGTGGATCATTCGAATTAATATTAAATAGATATCTTTGATCATGCACCCTTTTTATTTGTCTTTTTTTTCTTGTACAGCAAAGCATGGAGTCCACATTCCTTATTTCATACTGTGGGCTATGTGTCTGTGTTGTAGTGAAAGAAGGAATAACCCAGGCATGATGGAGCACACCTGTAATCACAGAACTCTGGAAGGCCGAGGCAGGAAAATTACAAGTTTGAGCCCAGCATGGGCAATTTAGCAAGACTGTCTCAAAATAAAAACATTTAAAAGGAGGGCCAGGGATGGAGCTCAGTTCAAAGGTTTTAGTTCAGTCCCGGACACCCCTACACACACACACGCATGCACGCACGCACGCACGATTACAGTGCCTGGAATACTGCATCTAATTCAAAGACAGTCTCTTAAAGTAGTATTTAGAGAAAATGCACAAAGGAGAGAGGATTCAACTTTGTTGTTATGCCAATTCGTATAAATATTATGAAAAATTCTATATCAATTTATATTTTAGGGGTTTGGATTTCTCTGACTTATTTACATTCCGATTTTCATTACAGGTTGTCTTCACATTCTTAAACTGTTCTGCTGTTCATTGATTAAAATACATGCTTAAATCAACTAGTTTCTGATTAACACGTTTATCAAAAAGACTACAAAGTCAGTAATAATTTTGGACCTGAAGATGTTGAAAATTAAATTTTTTATTAATTCTGAAATTTTTAGAAACTGGGAAAGAGATCTTTTAAAAAAAATAATAGGACTTTTGTCTTTCTGAAAAGGGTGTCATCATTGTAATTTTATGTGTGTGTTAAAGCAGTATATATTATCTTAGCTGGAACATAAAATCCTTCAGGGCAAGAGCTATGTCAGAGGTTGGTCATCTTGTAATAGAAGAAAATATATATACTATATAAACATTTTTATTCGTAATTTAAATCTTTCTAATTTAATTCAGATAACTTACACTTTTCTGTAGTAGATGTACCCTTTAAAATTTTTTAGAGAAAGATGTATTAAATATTCTCTTTTGTTTTCTTAATACAGCATTCCTTCTGATTAATGATAAGGAAAAAACCTTTAGCCCCCATAAAAATAAATTATAGAAAATATTGTATCCTTTAAACTTACACACTTGGATAATAAAATTTAAACTTACTTCAGGTTAAAAATGTAATGTTTAGTAGTTCTCTTATTATGTGCCCCCCTCATTTTATTGAAGATAGCATTTAGTCCACTGTAAATAATTATTCAGTGTCACACAGGAAGCAGAGGTGGACTGGAAGAGATAACTGCCTAAGAGTATTGTAAACAAATATATAGGAACAAAGAAACATAGACTATATTTGGATAAAGATAACAAAACTAAGAAATACTACTTTATTAAAATCAGCAAGTATTTAATGGAAGTGTAATATATTGTAGTAAAGACTTAGGTTAGAGATTGAGTCATTTGACACCATAGGCAAAATGTTTAATCACTGAGTCTCAACTTATTCATTAAAATTATGATTCACGCCTATAAGATTCTTTTGAGTACTGATATAAAATGCATTGCTTAGTGTATAGAAATTTTAAATATATGTTAAAGCCCTGACATTAATAATTCCAAAGTATAAGAAAGATGTAATGATCTTGTTGAAAAAAACATTTTAAAAACAGAAGATAAAACAAAACCATGTATAATGTGCTGAAATGTGAAGGACAGATGTGGATATAGTGGAAAATAATCATTTTCACTCATAGAAATGCAATAAACATCAGGTAAAAGTCATTACTGGTACTTAAAATACATTGCTCATGGGGATCTTCTATTTTCTAAACAGGTTTTCTGCATTCAGATTTTCTCATCTATGTGAAAGGTTTCCTTTTGTTTTATTTTGATCTTCTGAACTAGAAAGTAGAAAAACTATTATGTTTGTAGACTCTTGTGTAGTAAGTCAATTTACATAGCTGTCTTTCTTGGGCACAGATTTATACAAATACATGGCCTGTAAATGCTCTATTTTCTTATACTCTGTCTTTTTTTCTCTAAAGGATACATTTAATAAGAGATACCTACAAGATAGTATCATGAGAGTCACAAAAAAATTTTTAAATAGAGACCTTTTGACTTAAAGATTGAAATGTTACTGTATCTTCCAAATCATTAACTTTCTAATTATTAGTTCTTTAAAATACTGTCAAAGAAAAGCTTGCCCTGAATCCTAGCTTGTGCCAGATAAATTCAGTGACTGTTCCTTTAATCACTATTATATAATGTTTTAGTAATTTCTGCTCTGCACCTTTAACACATTCCCGCCACCTCTGGTAGTACATGCATTACTGTCCCATTGGGCAGCTGATACCACTGCTGCTACAAATAGATCTAATCACTTTTATCAGTCTTTTCAGCAGCGAGACATATGAATTGGGCCCCAGTCATGAATGTGTTAATTCTAGTGTGTTCCTAAAAACTCTCTTAAGACAAAGCTTAGCAAAATTAGCCTGTGGATTTATACTGTAGATACTACTTTTCAGTTAGTTCAGTGTAATAGAGACCATGTTCTTTTGTTACTGGAAGAGTACTTTTCACAGAGTGACCTAATACAGATTTTTAAAATACTGATCTGTTAATTTTTTTCTGTTAATCTACTCTTGACTATTAAATATAAATTAAGGATTTCTACCAATTAAAAAAAGGTGCATAGGGCCGGGAATTTAGCTCAGTGGTTCCAGTGCCTGCCTCATAAGCGCAAGGTCCAGAGTTCCATCCCTGGTACCAAAAAAAAAAAGTACATAAAGGTGATGCTAGTGACTATACAAATAATGCAAATGAGGGCCGGGGATTTAGCTCAATGGTTTTGCCGCCTGCTGCGCAAGCACAAGGACCTGAGTTCAATCTCCAGTACCAAAAAATAATAATAATAATAATAATAATAATAATGCAAATGGAAGATAAATCAGCAGGGCACTATATACACTTTACGTAGTTATTTACACAGCTTAACCATTTTCTTCCCATTTCTTCCCATTCTTACCATATCTTACAGTTCCGTCACAGTCATTTGTTTCCTGCTCATAGATGCCATGTCTTTTCATCTTAACTCCTGCTTCCCTTTCCAGGCCCAAGTCACTCATTCCTCAACCCACCCCACCCCCGCCTCCCTTGATTTTCCTGTTTCCCTCTCTCACTGAAGAATTAATTCTTTCTCTTTACTTATATTAATTATGTCACTCATAAACAATAGAATCACTTATGTTGTTCTCTCCATAATCTTTGTGTCCCTATCATTAAATTGTTTTATGGTTTTCTAATTGAAATGTTAGATTCCTAAGAGCAGAAACCTGTGTGCTTATAATAGTACCTAACATATATATATAAGTCCATGGTATTTGTTAAAGGAGCGGGGAATAAAGAAAAATATTTATTAAGGACAAATTTATGCATGTGTTTCCACTTTTTAAGGTACTAAGTTTTTCACTTAGTACTCACTTTTTCTTGGATCAGCCTTTATAGATGATAGTCACTTGATTGTATATCCTTTCTCATCTTGATATTGGTTGCTTTGTTTGGGAGATTATCTAACCATTGCTTAGTAGACTTTTAACATGTAAAATTCTAATCTATTCTTCTGTAAGTAGTCTGTTGCTTAGAATTTTCAGGGATCTGTAAGGAGTACCAGTTCTTTGCTAAGAATGCTTCATTTATCCAGCTGACCTAGGCATCAGAGTTTGTCCATTTCCCAATCCTCAGTTACAGTATACTGTAGGTTTTGGAGCTGAGGCAATAGCTTTGGAACTACTATTCTCAGTTCCACCCGTGGGTCAGTCTCTACAAGACTTAAGACTTTGCAAAAGCTATTAAAGCTGTGAACAGGACCTTCAGGGTGGATTGTAACCTGAAGCCTAAGAATAAAGAACCTTCAGCTAATGTGCTGATAATCATTTGAAAGTACTAGATCAAGAAGAATGATGTTGAAAGAAATAATAAAACTCAGAAAATAGAGCAACAGAAGAGATTTTAAAGAGAGGGAAAAAGGCAAGGCGAATGTTTTTGTTCTGCTAGAAATGAGTCATAACTGAGCATAGAATTAGTGCTAGTAATGTACCTGCATTAAGATGTGGAAACTACATTTTCTGGAGGAAAATAACATGATCAACAGCCTGAGTCATTGCCTCTAGTGTTTAATTAAAAGAATCCAGAAGCTCCAAAAGATGGACACAGATTTTTTTTCCTCTTTATTATTATGTGGACAGTGCTACCATTCCTCAAATACCAACACATTTAATGTAATAAAAATTATATGTTGAGTATGTTTTTTTAGATTTTATGATTCTTAAAAGACCTTCATAGTGTAAATGGGAAATAAGTCTGTAAATAATTATTGGGACATATCCTGAAGAAACAAAAGATACTTTCTCATAAACATCCTTGGGTGTGGTTAAAGTGCCCTTTTCACATTTAAAATAATACCAGCCACTGAACAGAGTGATTTACATGCATAGTCTTAGTTATAAAGCACTGTAAGATACTATCTTTTATGATAGAGGCTACTAAGAAAAAAATTCTCAAGAGATTGCTCAGATCACACAACAGTATGGTCAGGATTTGAATACAGATTTGAAAACTGACTCAGAGCTCTTAGTCTTTACCTTTATGTTGCCCTACCTTTATATGTAAGAAATATTTATATACTTTGCATCCAAACAGTATCCTAGATTTTCTACAGAATTCACACCATGCATTTTAACAAAACTAAGAATACATGATAACTGTAAGATAAAGTCATCATTACTGCTATTGTAGAGGTATAGATAAATTACCATGGGGCCAAAAAAAAAACAAAACCATAAACAGTGGCTTATAGACCTGGAACACAATTATTTCTATGTTTGGAATTGTTTGGATTTCAGTTTGCCTTTTATTTATTGATTCAGTTTCCTAGCATTTATCTGAAGTATATCTATTTTATTTATTTTTTAATCAACAGTTCACAGAAGAAAAGCTTGGCCAAGCAGAGAAGACAGAATTGGATGCTCACTTAGAGAACCTCCTTAGCAAAGCTGAATGTACCAAAATATGGACAGAAAAAATAATGAAACAAACTGAAGTATTATTACAGCCAAATCCAAGTGAGAAACTTATTACCTCTAATCTACCTTAAGAACTGTTAATGGGTTTTTAAATGTTAAAAATTGATTTTTTTATTGTGGCTTCAAGATTTATGGGGGCGTTTTTTGTATGTGTGCTTTGGGTAAAGAAACAATAAATACTTCTGTGTACTCTAACAAATTCACAAGTAACATTTCTCAGGCATTTGTAGAATCCTCTTGAAACTTCAGTTTTAGGCAGTGAATTTGAATTTTAAGAGTTATGAGAGGCTGAGAGGCTTTCTTTTTCATCTAGAGAAAAAGTGTTCCTAAATAAGTAAAGAAAAGTTAATATAGAAGCTTAAATAATTACCAGTTTTTGTAGTTAAGTTTTATGTTTTCATAAATTATTCCATTTGGTTTTCCGACAACTGTGAGATTTCTTATATCACCCAATAAACTTGCAGATAAGATGTATAATTATTGGATAAAACTCACAAATTAGCCTCTTATCCATTGTAGAATAGTTAAGTAGAAGTAGAATTTGGATAAGAACCAGGTGTATTGACATCTCGTTTTTTCACTATAAGCTTTACATATTAAATATGAAAGACAGCGAGCAGAAGGTCCCAAGTTCAATCCCCAGTACCAAAAAAAAAAAAAAGAAAGAAAAAAAAAGACAAACAGTGCATACTTTCCTTCTCTTTTCCCTAGTGCTACTATGAGCATGTTACAAAATTCCATAAACTTATTTTAAGATATTAACGTAGCTTCAGTCACTAAAATATTAGCAATTACATGCCATTTTAGTTAAGTTGGAGTAACCTAAAATAAACCTTTCATATCTTGAGTAAAACTTGTTGTCTTTATTTCTTACTCATTTAAGGCCATTTAAATTATATAGCATAGCCAGGCCTGTTGGGGCATGCCTATAATCCCAGCACTCAAGAGGCTGAGGCAGGAGGATTGCTGTGAGTTTGAGGCCAACTTGGGCTATATAGGGAGTTAGTTCAAGGCCAGGCTGAACTACATAGCAGGATTCTGTCTCAAAAAACCAAAAATAAATAAATAAGTTATATAGCATGACACTTTTAAAAAGCAGTAGACATTTTTCCTTTTGTTCTTCCTCTATCCAAAAGTCCTCACATGTAGAATCTGTTCTACAGGGTATTTTTCTGATTAGCCAAAAAGCTCATTCATGATGGACTGATATATAATACAATTATAAATATAATACAATTCCCTATACTTCTATTGTATGTGGTAAAGTAATAAGAGGTTTTTTTGTTGTTGTTTGTGTAATGGTTATAAAGTTACATGGATTTTGAGTGGTCAAACTGACCCTTTTTTCCCCTAAAAGTCCTGTTGTTTTTAGTGTTTGATTTTTTTCCATAAGCTAAATTTTTTTAGAAATATTACACATAAACACATAAATATGTATATAATACATTGTAGCAGAGTTGACTGCCTATTTTAAGATTTTATGACCTATCGAGTAATCTATTGCAACGAAGCAGATATTTATTAATATACCAAATGTCATATTAACATAATGAAATCAACTTATGATTCATATTTAAACCTTTGACCTTGTTTTGAAAAGAATAATGTAATTAACTTAAAGGTTTTTTTAAATTTTGCTTTGAAACTTCTAATTTTGTTCCAGAATCTGCTACGAAAGCAGGTATTATTCCAACATCCTATAATAAATGCATATCTTTAATGTACTATAATTAACACTTTTGCCAACTTCTGTTGTTTCTATTATTGGTTCAACTCAGTTTTAAATTTTTATATGTACCATGTGAAACTTCGGATTATGTAGTAATCTGTGTGAGGTGCTTATAAAGAACTTATTTGACTTAGCTTCTTTCGGGGTTATAGTTTTAATTTACACTTAATCATTGTTTCTGGAAACTTGAACCATTTTTTCTTTATTTGTCCCTGGAATACCTTGCTGCAATGTAAATGTGAATTTCTTTCATTTTAAATATTACCCTAACCAAGTGTAATTTGGCTTTTATTGATTTTTTTTCCTTTCCATTTATACTCATTCTGTGATTGCCTTTGTCCTTTTTTATTTTAAACTTGTTTGTAATGGTAAAATCTTTTCAGTGAACGCATACTCAGAGATGCCACACATACATGTCTTTGAACTTTAAACATAAGTAACCTTTAGCCAAATCTCCATATTGCTGATCTGTCTAGAGACTACTCCAAGCCTGGATCTTTCTATCTCTTAAGCTTCTGTGCCTATATTTAGACTCTGGCAAGAAGTGCTCCTGCTAAAGGTGTCAGATATGACTCTTCCGTTCTTTTAGATACTTTATATCCATGTTTTCTCAGCTGAAAATCACTAATTTTGAAATTATGAATATATATTCATAGTTTATATTATATATTTTTTTTTCAGAGTTTAAAATGCTAAAACTAGGGCAGAGGGAACTTTACTAGACAATAAATACTATCAACTCTTCTGAAACTTAAAAATCCCTTAAAATACTCAAGTAATGAATTTAGCTTTATTTTAAAATGTTTTTGTGCTGAGATATTTTATCAGCTTTCTAAAATATCAGTTTCTTAGAGCTACATGACACTTTTACATATAAATTTAAAATTAAATATAAAGATACAAACTTGGATGAATGCTAATTTCATATTTAAGAAGTAGTAAATGTCTGGAGGGCAGGGCAGCAAATAAGTCTTTTAAATAGTTTTGCTCTTTTGAAGTCACTGGTAATTTTAATCTTTCCCCTAGATGCCAGAATAGAAGAATTTGTTTATGAGAAACTGGATAGAAAAGCGCCAAGTCGTATAAACAACCCAGAACTTTTGGGACAGTATATGATTGACGCAGGGACTGAGTTTGGCCCAGGAACAGCTTATGGTAAGTGGAAAACAAACAGTTCTAATAAGAAGTACTTTTACATTAGATTTTTGGTACTTAGAGATGTCATTAACATATAGTAGAATCAGTTTTAATTTTAAATTTATTATGTTAAAATTTTAATGAACTGAAATATGTAACCAATAAATTTGTACATTTGAATTTAATATTTAAGCGTATATTTATTGAGAATTTATATCTTTAGTTCTTAAAAGTTAAAAGAATTCTTTACTTGTAACTGCCATTGTTCTTGCAACACCTTTATTGTAATACTTCTTGTATTATATTGCAATTATTATTTACATGTTTTCTCTGTGATTTTTGTAAAATTTTCCTGAGGGCTATTTATTTTCTACTAAAGGAACTTCTTACACAATGAATGTTTGAACAAATCACTAGTGCTTTCATTAAAATTTTGCAAAAATATCACTTTAGCAGTGATTATCTCTGAATGTTCGGATTAATTTCATTTCTGTTTTCCTCATATATTTCATGTTTTCTATGATTATGTTTTATGGGTAAGCCAGTTTTGCTTAGTCATTGTTCTTTTCAAATATGCAACTCTGAAGTTCAGAATTTCACATTTTTATTATTGAGACCTCATTTTCTTGTAAGACTATTTCAGATTTCTTTAGCTTCCTTTCCCTATTGTTTATGGCTAATTCTATTTAAGACTACTTCAAGAAATTGGTTCTTGTTTGAGTACCAAATGGTAGATAGATTAAATGAGTTTCCCCAGATACTTATTTATGAAATAGCTCCTAAATTCTGTGATTATACAAATTTAAAGTTTTAGTAGTTATCTTTATGTCAGAAAATACTCTTATATTATATAATACCATTAATCCATCAAAAGGCTTTTTAGATTTACAACATTGAAATATTTACATTATATTCTTCAAATTCTAAGTCATTGAGAAGTCTGAAAATGCTTAAAATAAATTTGAAATTTTGAAAATTTTAGAGGTTCACTTTTAGATAAATTTTGTGCATTAAACATGTTTTATTGCCTGTTTGTGCTGGGATCATTAAGGCTTATGAAGGAGACCTCGCCCTTTCCTTCACAGAGCTAAAGGCCTGCTGGGACATGAACAGTAGAGAAGCTTTTAGATGTTCTTCCTTTTTAAATCTGCTTGATCTGTTTACACCTGAACATATCCTGATAATTGGAATTGAACTTTGACAACCTATTATTAGTAAATGGTAATAACTAAAATTGAGTATTCCAGGCATTGAACTAAGCACTATATTCTGTGTGTGAGTGCAAATATATTTATGTATTTAGTAAATTGTCATTTATATCATTCTGATAACATAAACTTTATCATCTCCATTTTAAAGATAAGGAAACTCAGACTTGGAGAGGTTAAATAATTCATCCATATTCATACAGCTAGTAAATTCAAATTCAGATCTGTCAGTATCCAGAGACAAGCTCTTAACTACTATGCTATTACCTTCCTTACCAGTGAGACCTAATCTCATTGTAATATGAAAGGCTTAAGATCTACAGAGGTAAAACTTAATAAACTAGAACAGGGGTAGAACCTAATCTTGAGGTTCCCTTTCTTTTTTCTCTACTTTCTACCTCTGCTTTGCCTGTTGTACTTGTCCTATTTCAATATCAGGTATACATGTTGTAAAATATGGCATTTTCTTAATATATAAACTATTTATAGGTACAGTACTTGAGATAAGTACATATAGAAAACAGAAGACAAATTGTGACTTAATCTACTTGTTAAAATAGTGTAAGCTTTGTATTTTTCTAAGTATGCTACTCTGAGCTGTGACCATAAATAATTTTCGGTGTATCTGTCCTCTCTAGTTTCATTGGTAGATTTGCCAGTTAACTAGGATATGGTAGGAAGTCATCTTGGTCTTTTTCATTTAGATATTTATCTTGAATTTGCTTTTCAATAAATCTACCTTAATTACAGTTAATTCTGTTTAATTTTACTGAGGTAAACAAGTGACAACTTTGAAGCAGATCAAACTGGTAATTTATCTTCATATGATTTTTAATTTTCTGACATTACCAGACACTTTTTTTAAAACAATAAAACAAAAACTTTTTTCTTTTCAGGTAATGCCCTTATTAAGTGTGGAGAAACACAAAAACGAATTGGAACAGCTGACAGAGAGCTGATTCAAACATCAGCCTTAAATTTTCTTACTCCTTTAAGAAACTTCATAGAAGGAGATTACAAAACAATTGCTGTGAGTTGGAAAATGTTCCCTTTTAGTAAAATAATTTAATTTATGTTTACAGTTTTTAGTGAATAATTCTACCTCTTTAATGGCTGTAAATGTAGTTGCATTTTCACCAGCACATAAAACTAGAACAAAAATAAAAGATTTTAAAAACAATTCCATATTTGTGTTCTGCAGTGCTGCAGTACATTTGCATTCATTCTCAATTGTTGCCAACCCTAAAATCTATAGAGAAGTTCCTGGAATAACTATGAAAATATGCTACAAAATACCACCATAAGATCGGATAGTTAAGTAGCCATTTATTTAAACTGGAGCTAGAAGCCTAATTATTGGAAGATATATATTTCTGGCTCTTACACTGTATTTCTTTATGCATTTCTAGAAATGTATTATCTTTTAACATCACTGTTTTATTGCTAAGTATGTACTGTATGTTCTTAATGAATTTCAGCATTTTATCTTTTCTATATTTATAGAAAGAAAGAAAACTATTACAAAATAAGAGACTGGATTTGGATGCTGCAAAAACCAGACTGAAAAAGGCAAAAGCTGCAGAAACTAGAAGTTCAGTAAGTAGTTTTTTGCTTGTTTGGTTTTGGTTCTTTTTTTCCTGATAGAAAAATATTTTAGGTCAGTACTTTAAAATTTGTGAAATATTTTAGTGATACACTATATAAGATACAGACTATACTTAAGAATTAATAGAATTAATAGAATTTGACTTTCAGATCTTGTTTTTGTGTTTTTAAACAAATTTATCCAAACTTACACATCCAAGTCAGTGCAGAGTAGTCATATCAAGAGGCATTATTCAGCAATATAGCTGTTGCTAAACACCAAAAATTAGACCTCCTAAAAGGCTGTGTCATGTTCTTTAAATATCATTAGTGGTAATAGCAAATATGTCTTTTGGAGATAGATGTATTATATTGTAATTAGCAAAAAAAAAAAGAATGAAGATGAGAATGAATCAAAAAAAGAATGACAATAAGAATGAATCAAGTTTTTCAATATTTATATGTAGCTTAAAAATTAAATGAATTTTCTTTCCACATCTGATTCATAATGTTGAAAGGAGCTGTCACCAGGTAGAGTACTCAGTGACAGCAGGGACTCCTGGGTTACTATTTTGATGGATAAGAAACCCATTTGGATAAATTCTGGTGTATTCTTTAGAAAGCCATCCTTACAGTAGTTTAAAATTGAGTAGCTATATATTAAATATGATAATTCTTTGATTTTACATATTTTTTCTTAAAAGATTTTATAAGGTATTTAGCTATGCTATTTCCATTTCAAAGATTGAAAAGATTTATCAGGTTTAAATTGGAACACCTTTAAGATAGTACAACTTGAACACATATGAATTTGTTAATAGAAGCTAATGAATTCCTAATTTTATCAAAGGGATATGTTTTGTTAAGAGGCATAATACTCCCTACCACTACCACCATCAAGAAGCATTGCCTTAATGAGAATATGGCTACAGCGCTTGTAGAAGTCTTACAGTTCTCTTCCTGTAGGGAAGAAGGGTTGAGAATTACTTTAGAATGAAATTTAAAACTGATAACTTTGTACTAGTGGTATCTTATGATACTACCCCAACACCTTTTATGAGCAGAGTAATATTTTTTTAATAGTCTCCTTCAAGAGATATTGTATTAGCTACTGATGGAAAAAGAGCTATCTTTGATAGAACAATTCTAAATTTACCATTAATTCCAAATTCAGTTTCACTTCACAGTTTATCATGACATTATTAGCATAACTTCACTAAACAGACTCTGCAGAATTAAAACTTTAAAAATAAAAGTTATAGTTATTAAGAGACCCTAATCTAACTTACCAGTTTCTAATTGTTAGTGAATTTGTATAGTAAAATACCAAAAGGGTAAATAAGGACTAAAATGTATAATAGACATTGGGAAATAGAAAGAAAATGTTCAGATGAGAAGCAAGGGAGGAGGTAGGTGGGAAGGAAGGAAGGGAAAAGAAAAAAAGGAATAGAAGGGGAAAAAATGGAAACAAAGCTTTTGTAAATAAGGGGAAAAGAGGTTGAAAGAAAGGGAGGGGATTGGGGAAAAAAGAATCACGATATATCATGTATAGTACAAATTCCTTATGATGAATGTAATCACTATGTATATCTAAAATGTACCGATAAAATTAATCAAAAAAAAAATATATATATATATATATTATGTATGTATTGGTCAAGATGTGAATTTTATAATCAGGAAAAAGATAAAAATCATTTGGAAATATTTGAACTATAATAGAATCTTTTTATTTATAATGCCTGTATGTGATGACAGTGGAATAAAAATAGATTAAATTTCAGCACAAAGCATTTGTTTAACAAGCACTGTTAAAGGATAATGGTAGTCTCCTCTTTTACCTGCAAAGTGCTGGGAAGCACATAGACCTAACAATATAAAAAACTCCTTTGATTATTCTGAACTATTGTAAACTATTTTACTGTGACTACTAAGATGTATGTATAAGTAGACAAACTTTTTGAGAAATTAGTTATATGATATAACTAGGAAAAATGTTGGCCATTGTTCTGTGCTGTGTATTTTTGATGACAGAATTTTGTTCATGGGAATTTATTTTTTAAATTAAATAATTCAATTTACATAATCCAACAATTTGATTTGTATGCTTTCCTAGAACTTCTATATTACATAATACAAATTTTGTGTATAGCCAGAATTAAAATGTTAGTCTAGACAAAAACTCATGTTTCCTGGTAAAAATATTCAAATTCTCTTAGATAAAATATTCACATTTCTTGCCAGGAGTGGTGGCACATGTCTATAATCCCAGGTACTCTAGAGGCTGAGATAGGAGGACCAAAAGTTTGAAGCCAGGCTAGGGAACTTAGTAATACTCTGTCTCAAAATAAAAAGGGCTGGAGATATATCTCAGTGGTGTAGTGCAAAGAAAATTTTCATTTTATATTTTTCTTCAAACTTTATAGCAATAAGTCTGAACTACTTGGGACAGGAAAAGCCACTCTTAGTTTATTACATAAAGCTTTACATTATGACTATATTTGGTTAAAACTCCCCCCCCCCGTATTTTCATCCATTTTCTTGAAGAATACAGAATAGTGGAAATAAATCAGACACACAATATCTCATAGTTTCTCTTACATGAGAAACCCAAAGTATAACTAATTTAAAGAGCAAACTAAAGGATGGATAATAGGAAACAGACAGATATTTTCCAAATCAGAATGAAATTTAGAGGGGGAGGGGAAGGGAAAGTAAAAAGTATATGTACCAATGCGCCACTATGAATGTAATCATTAGGTACTACAAAAATGTATGTACTAATAAAAACTTTAAAATTTCTTTCTTTTTTTGTGTGTTTGAGACACAGGGCCTATGTAGTTGAGGCTCCCCTTGAACTCATTACCGTATATACATAGCCCAGCCTGGCCTCAAACTGGTGATCCTCCTGCCTCAGTCTCCCGAGTGCTGGGATTACAGGCATGTACCACCACACCCAGCTAAAAAAATTTTTTTTTTTAGTACCAGGGATCAAACTTGGGACCTTGTGCTTGTGAGGCAGGCAGCGGAACCACTAAGCTAAATCCCCAGCCCCTAAAAAAAAATTTTTTTAGAAAGGAAGTTAGGTTTACTTCCCCACCTCACCCCCTTTATTTTTGAGAAAGGATCTCATTATGTCACTGAGTTTCCCAGGCTGAGTTCAAACTTTTGGTCATCTTGCCTCAGCCTCCCAGAGTGTTGGTATTAAAAGTGTTTGCCACCACCCCTGGCTTTTTTTCTTTTTTTTTCCTGACATAGTTCTTGGTTCCCAGTTGGATCTAACCCTAGACTTTGATTTCACTACTTTATAAATTTGCTTAAATTATTATGTGACTAGTTATTCCTGTACTAGTAAAGTTTGGGACACGTGCATATCAGCACTGTTTTTAAAATTTTATTTACTAGTTTCCTGTATCCTCTTTGTAAGTTCTGTATTTGAGTCCTACTTGTATATAAGGTACTCTGCTGAGAAGGGGATCATAGATAAATAATAAAAAATCTTTGTTACCTTTAATCCACAATCCAGTATACTAAGTTAAACTTTTTTTTATGATTTAGCCCCATAGGTAAAAAAATCTGCCTGTGTCCAATATTGCTGCTATACTAACTAGTGTTTTACTAGTTAGCATGTTGAAGAATGGCAAAGCAATGTAAAAGGTACTTCTTAAGGTATACCAGTTGAGCAAAAAACAGAAAACATACTTTGTTTCAAAATGAATTAAAAAAAGAGTTTTAAAATAGTTTATAGATAAAACATGTCAGAGAAGCAAGGACAAAGCATAATTCATGCATTTAAATTATAAGGCACTCGTCTTTATTAACCTAATCTTAGTCTAATATAAACTTTTAAAAAATTATTTTACAGTTTAAGGGAAAGAAAATGGCTGGTTTTATAGTTCTCCAATATTTAGAGATTTAGACTGTGATTTTGGAGCATCTAAATTTGATGGAAAATACTTCTTCAAATACTTCACATAGCACATGTTCCCTCAACACACTTAAACATGGCTGAAGGCATTGTACATATACCAAGTAAAAATGACCTTTAAGTAGGATAATTGAGGATAGTCCCAGGGCTTTCATGGGTGGAGATTTAATGAAATTTTTAGTTAATTGGCAGTTTTTATAGTGATGAGATTTCCTAAATGATTCTAATTTAAAATTAAACATCAACCTTTTTAAAAAAATTTTGAGACAGGGTCTCACTATGTAGTTCAGGCTGGCCTTGAACTCACTCTGTAGCCCAGGCTGGCTTCAAACTCATTGATTCCCCCTGCCTCTGCCTCCCGAGTGCTAGGATTACAGGTGTGCGCCACCACTTCTGGCCTAACATCAACCATTTTGTTTTGAAAATTTGGATCTTTAAAGTATAAGAAACATCAGCTCTTTCCATACTTGTTTAGTGTGTGCTTTTATTGTGCAGAAGTAACTGTTCCACTGTGTTCATTGGTATACTGTGTTCTTTGTCTTTACCTATGTATTTAAGCAACTAAACTCAGCTCGCCTTGAAGGAGATAACATTATGGTAAATTTCTCTTACATGCTCAACTTCCTGCATGTAAAATGGCTGAAGGTTTGTTGGCCTACTGTGTTTTCTACATCTTGACTAAAGTGCCTTCTCTTGCTATTAGCTGCATGTAAAATTGTTGAAGCCATGAATTTGTTTATGTGTAGGAAAAAGTACTAGCTGAAGTGATAGTGGAACTTGAAGAAAAAACACTATATTTTAATTGTCAAATGTATTGATTATACCAAATACAGATTTTAGAATCATAGATTTATTGTACTGCGTTTTTACAGTCAGTGAAAGATGGTAAACTGGCACTTCAGATTATCATTTTTGGTGAAGGAAAGTAACATTTATCTTACTTAAAGGAAGATAAAGGTACACAAATTGATTTTGCCTCTCAGTAGCTTCAACATTTGTCTTTTTGTTACTCAAACTCAATATAGAATTATTTTCTTTGGCCATTACAGGCTAAGATAAACTCAAGTACGTTAGGTATTCCTGTAGTGGCCAGACCCATTCCACATGCAGTGCTAACTCATGGAAAATTAAAAATGATGATAGCCTGCAGGAAGCATAGAGAATAAAAGGTGTTTTATAATATCTAATGTGTATATTGAGTTCAGTTTGAAGAAATTTTTGACACATTATTAAAGTTTTTAATTTTAATGAAATAAGTTTTAAGCAGACAGTTCGTATGTTAGCTGATAAAAATTGGTTGTATTTGGTACTCCTAGACACATTGCTTCCACTAAAAGTGACAGGTCTGCAGTTCAGTTAATAATAAATTGGCAATTAATTGACTGCTCTTATTCCATTAGCATTGAACTAAAAGCAGAAGAAAAGTCTTTCTTTTTTTATACTACGATTATTGAAATCTTGACTAAATTAGGGCTTTTCTTAGCAAGAGAATGCACTTATTTCCATTGTCCTTTGTATAGATAAATGAAAAGTGTGAGTCATTACTAATTTAGTATACAAATCATAGTTTTTCTTTTGTGTTAGGTAGAAAATATCCTAAATAATTAGCAGGACCTTTGTTTCCTCCACTAAGTGTTGTTTTACTACTACTATCATCTGCTTATAGTAAGATATGTTTAGCTATGGTTATTTTAAAATTCATTTTATTTCAAGTTTATAGTTTTCTCCAAAGAAAAGCTTTATCAGTGACAGTTGGTGTTCTTTTATCCTTGCTTTATTTTTATTTACTAGAATTCTAGAGTTTATACCTGAAAGAGAAATTAGAATTCATTTAGCCCAAACCTCATTTTATAGATGAGAAAACTAGAACTATGACAAATTAAATATTCCCAGTTTGGGAAAATGGTTATTCTTATTAATTTATAAAATTAGCATATTTTAAAATTGATAGTATTGATATATACAAAAGGCATACTAAAAAAAAAAAGGCATATTTTGACAATATGTTGAGCTGCACTGACTGAGTTACTACTGTGTTTAATCTTATAATATGATTTGGAGAAAGCAGAGTATGCCATTTGAATTAAAATTCCTATATTTTTCTCTCCTAAGTTGTAGAAAATGTTAAATCCCAACTTTCTTTCATGCTCTATATTTTTCTCTAATTTTTAATGCTGGCTAGATTTGGGCAGAGGAAGTAACAAAAGTAAGTAAATTATTACATGACAGAATTATGAAACAAGAATTTAATTGCCATTCATTCAGTAAATATTTGTTAGGTGACAACTATGTGACCAGTCATGGTCTGTGTTACTGTATCTTTTAAAATTTGAAATGTATGGTAATGTTTAGGTCTGTTTGGCCAATAGCAGCTCCACACAATGTTGCAGAGATGTGATTTGCACATATCATGATAAATCCTAGATACCTGTTAATCAAGTGGTAAAATCATACAATGCCTTTCCAGGAGGCCGATGACATATGTGATTTATTCATTGATAATTTTTTTAAATGGCAGATATTTTAGATGTGATATAGTTAACATTAGGTAACCAGAGCTTCTCTTTATCACCAAAGCTATTTATTCTCACTTTAGCAGAAAATGTCTCTAAAAAATGTACTTTACTGCTGTATTAAACACAGGATAGCAAGTATTTCATTTTACAGTTAAGGTCATTATTATGAATATCCATTATTGTATGATGTAACAATTGGATCCATTGTTTTTGTCTATTTCCCTCAATGTCAGACTGCTAGCAGTTCCTCTACTTGTGTTACCATTTCTAATCTTCTCTGAGCTGGAAAATCAAGTAATAAAGCAAGAATTTAAAAAATAAAATTATTTTAACTTCAATGCAGATTTGTTTGAAATTCTCTTTTAGGTCTTTAGAAGCATTTTTCATTTATTCTCCAATTCTAAGGCCTACCAAAACCTGACTTCCAAATGAGGATGGAACTGGAGATTGAGGGCAGGTGCTAATTATGGCCGGGGGACTTTAATGGCTTATAAACTTTAACTATTTTCTAACATTGTGAGATGCTGATTATGCAGCCTGTTTCATGCATAGGATACTGAGCTATTGATTCTACAACTTAAAAATTGAGTGTAATTCTTTGTTCAGGCTCTCATCCCCCTCTGGAATATTTTCATTTACTTATTATATGGTTCTACCCTGGCTTCTGATTTCTTCCTGAACCTCTAGCATGAAAAAGGGGCAGAGCAACATGGGAGAGAATGTAGTTTGAACAAGAAACCCAAATGTTTTCCCTTTGGTTGACATACATGTACACCAAAAAAGTTTTTGACTTGATTTGCACCTTCTATAAGTTTGGGAAATAATTGATATAATAAATGGGAAGAAAGTAATAAAACAAATGTTTATATTGTATAGATATATAAAATATTAGGGAAATATATCAAAATGGATTTGAAGAGATTTTTTAAAACTCCTTTCATTTTTATAATTTAAAAATATATAAACTTTAAAACTTCATATTCCTGGAATAAGATTTAAGCCTATAGAAAACATAATTAACACCAGCCAAGATCGTTAAAGCAAATGCCTCAGAAGTGTGACCAAAATTTCTTACAGATATCCAATCTATTATCACAGAGCAGTAAGTTATTGCACATTTTCCAAGTTACATCTGAAAAGAACCCTCCCTGTTTACTTAGTGTTGTGCTGTCATTTAGTCTCAATCAAGTATTCCAGTAACAATAATTCTTAGTAGCTCTTTTCCTAAAACTTACACTTTTAGTTACAAAATTAAATCAGAGAATAAGATATTCCAGAGGACAGAATATTAGCTGTTTAAATTCATTGTCTTTACATCTTTCTCAGGGCTAGGAGCTATAGCTCAGTGGCAGAGCAATTGCCTATTATGCTCAAGGCCCTGAGTTTGGTCACCAGCACCATAAACAATAAATAAGCCTTTCTCATCTACCTTTCCAATATAGATCATTTTCTTCCTGCATAAGCTGATTTTAGTGAACCTAACTTAAATTTCCTTAGCTTCTCAGCCCAGTTGTATGTGTCAGAAATAATAGACAGTTTGAGACATTCAACTATGTTTACATCCACCCCAAACATCTACTGAAATTTGTTCAAACAGTGAGAATCATTCCTTTCCTATCATTTACTTTGCCTAAATAAAAAGTCTAGATTGTTTAGAAGACTGAGTTGATAAGCTCTGTGGTGCCTTTCTTCACAATTAAATATTAAATTTTGCCAGGGATTTAGCTCAGTGGTGCCACTGCCTGCCTTGCAAGCGCAAGGTCCCAAGTTCGGTCTCCAGTACCCAAAAAATACCGCAACAGAAATTAAATTTTATTCAAACCTAGATGGCTGATTCCTTGTCCCTATTGAGATTATTTATTACTTTTATTCAGTATTTTTAGCATTAAAACCTTATTTCCACTTCACTATCAAGCTTCCTGCTCTCTTCAACCTGCTGTCTTAGTCTTTTACATCTTAAGAAACATTGCCATATAGTAGAGGTTTTTTGCTATTTCTACAAACAGCCATTAAATTGAATGGTATTTTCACAAAGACCCACATGGAACTAGCCGAATTTACTTCTGAAGCTCATTATTTTGGTTTACTGCAATTTTTTCTATTAAAGTCATTTGTATTCAACCACATAGAAGCGTAAATAGTACAAAGGTAACACTGAAGTGATTGATTTTCCTGATGCTTTCCTTGAGAAGAACATTCTTTTCTTCTGGGATTTTTTTTCTGCTTCATTCTAGCTTCTAGAGAATCTGACTTTAGCCTTCGAAAGTATTCTTGTTTTATTCAAATTTCACTTCACTCCTTTTTTTTTACTGAATAATTCAAGCTCATGTTCATAAATAAATCCAATCTAGTCGTCAGTTCTTAGTCCCCTTTTCCAGGCCTGTTGCTATTGGGATATTATAGCAACTGTCTGCTTTGTGCTGTTTCTTTCTTGACTGGCTCACTAGGTTAACAATTGCCATCCAAGAGTGAAGGAGGTGGAGAGGCGGCATGAAATTCCACGTTAAAATTCTGACCTTGTTCATACTTACTACATCTTGAAAATATTATAAATAACATTTACATAGGGAGGAAAGCTATGTATGCTAGCGAGGGAGTAAAAAATATAATCATGGCATTGTTACCAAAGATGATTGAAGGGGAGTTAATTATTTTGAATGAGCTGTGAGTGAAGTTTTATTTTTTCCTCTCCACTTTATTACCAGCAAGTTCTAATTAAAAGTTTTAAGCCAGGGATTTAGCTCAGTGGTTTCGCTGCCTGCTGCGCAAGCACAAGGACCCGAGTTCAATCTCCGGTACCAAAAAAAAAAAAAAAGTTTTAAGATATTTTATGCTAGTATTTATTATTTTTAGAGCCTTTTTTTTTTTTTTGTACCAGGGATTGAACTTGGGACCTTGCACTTGAGAGGCAGGCAACAGAATCACTGAGCTAAATCCCCGGCCCTAGAGCTTGTTAATTTTTCACTGCACTATTTTGTCCCAGCACTAAATGTATCAACGTTTGAAACCAGTAGTGGTATCATATTCTATACATCTCTTCCCATCTAACTTCAAAGTCAGTGGCTTGACATTGGTAGTGGGAAATTAGCCGTGGCAGGAGTATTTTATCATGAAAACCAGGATGTTAGAGCTTTTCCTTTTTCCTTAAAAATCAGTTGATCAGCGTAACACTGACTGAAGGTCAATCATAAATTTTAAGAAAACTTTTTTCCCTAATTGTAACATAATATTTCTGCTTAAGGCCTATTTTATGTATAGTTTAGAAAGAAAATTTAAAAGAACAACATGTAAAATGTAGAGCAAAGAAGTATTTGAAGAAACCAAAGAATTGTTCCTAACAAGTGTTTGGTAACTAAACAAGCAGAAATCCTATTGCTTCACTCTAAAGTCTTTTGTATCTGAAGTTGAAGATTGTTGTTTAAAAAGTATAGTAATAGTTGAGAATTTTTAAGAATAATATTATATCTGTGAAACTGTGCTACTCTTCAGATTTTGTAAAATATGAAACTTGGCAGAATTGAAGCTAGAAAATATCTTAACTGTCCATAGTAGGTTTTCTTGGTTCCTATGAGTATGTCATTGGGCTTTGGCATTGATAAATTCTGAATGAAGTGCTAGTAAGGAATCATTTCTTTTGAGGTTGAGTAATACAGAAAAGTTACGGTCTAAAATCCAGGAACCAGTTTAGATGTCACAAAAGCAGAATTGGAGAATTGCCAGATTATAATTTAGGATTTGTTTGAGGGATTTTTTTAACTGCCTAATAGAATTTATATAAAATGGTCTAAGTCTTCCAATGAGATTCTAAAACTGTGTCCTAATTTAAGTCTGAACAGGAATTAAGAATAACTCAAAGTGAGTTTGATCGTCAGGCTGAGATTACCAGACTTCTGCTAGAGGGAATCAGCAGTACACATGTGAGTGTTCATTCCTTGAAAATCCATCTAGAACAAAGACATCTGATCATTCTGAGGCAACTTGGAGTAAAGACTGAACTTCCTTTTCAGTCATTTGTTATGGAAATTTAAATTGTGGTGCTAAAGATATGTGAAGAAATATTTTAAACTTTTGCTTACATCTCATCACCTACTTCTCCCACCCTCATCAGATACTTTTGTTGGCTTTCATTGGCTAAACAATTTGTTATTAGTAAGATGCTAGATACTTTCTAGCATCCTTTATTATAATGATTCTCCTTTATTACAATGTTGTACTTCGTCCCCTCTTAGCATTTACCACTTTGAGAACTAAGAACTGACTATAACTTCCCTTTACAGGCTCATCATCTTCGCTGTCTGAATGACTTTGTAGAAGCCCAGATGACTTACTATGCACAGTGTTACCAGTACATGCTAGATCTCCAGAAACAACTGGGAAGGTAGTAATTGCCTTTTCACATATTGAAGTCTTAGATAAGAGAAGAGATAAATGCAGTTTTTTGCTTATGGACTATTAGCAGGGATGATTAGAAGAACTGGAGCCTTTGAGCTTGCACAGAATTGAGGGTTTTTTTAAATGGAAGTGTCAAACTTCTGAGATAACAAACATTTTGAGCTTTTCTGGCTCAGAAGGATATTACTAGAGATAAGAAGGTAAGTGAATACCTTTTTAGTGACATATAAAGAAAGCTTCTAGTGAGGTTTTGCTTTTCTTTTGCTACTGCATACTTTTTTACTGTTGGTCAACACATAGTTGTCCTTAAAGATAAACTATTTTATATGTGTTAATTACAGCAGTACCTTGATTCACAAACTTGATTCTCTCCACGATTCTGGTCCCACAGCAGTTGGATGAGAACCGAATCACATTTAAGTTCAGCCTAACCATTGAATTTGATTTGGTTCTCATCCAACTCAGTTTGCGACCCGAAGCATGGAAATAGTCAAGTTGGTGAACTGAGGTACCGCTGTACTTAGTAAAGAGGAAAAGAAGTTTTGGACTATTCTGTAAGCGCTTAAGCCCACTGACATGATTATTCTGACTTTGTTAATGTATTTTAAAGCAAAATGATAATATATAAAGTATATAGCTCAGTCATTCATTTATCAAATATTTGTAGCATATCTGCAACATACCTAGCACTTTATATTCTGCAGTTACATCAGCAAACAAAACAGGCAAAATGGTTACCTTTATGGAGCTCGCATTGTAAGGTGATACTAGAAATAACATACAGGGCAAATATGATTTCCTCTTTCACAACATTTAAAGTCTAGGGAGGGATACAAGCCATAGCTGGACAAGAAAACAGCAGGCTGAATATTCCAGGCAAATTTAAAACATTTATGTAAAAACACTGGAGGAACGAGAGAGTGGCAGATTTGGGAAACTGACAGTAGTTCTTCTCGTTAGAGCATAACGGTGAAGGTAAGAATGGCATATTAGATGACACTAGAGGGGTTAAGCAGGGTCACACTATGAATGGTCTTAAAAGTCAGTTAGTTATGGAAAGCACTTTAGAATTTATATAATGATTAAAACAGAAAAGTGATATCTGCCATTTGAAAGAAGAATATCAAGATAAGTTGTTTCAAAAACTGAGATATTTGAAAGGTCACTTTGATGATGTTTTAAGCATATTAATCTTTCAGAACTAGACCTAGAACAAAATTAGACACATCGGCAAATCCAATTTTAGATTTTAAAAATGAGTTGTAGCTTCTTATCTAATAAGAGTTGATGAACAAATTCTGAGACTAGAATTATGGGAAGAATTAAGTTCGTGAACCACAGTTTTTGATGTTTTGTTAGTGATATTTGTATCTGAAATCAGACTACCACTTTAATCCCCATGTCATTAACAACTATTTTAAACTCAAGCCTTAATAATTCCTTTCTACTTTCTCCTCAGACTTTAGGAGTATACCAGACAGGTTGCTCTTGCTACCATTATAGCACAAGTGCTTGGCCTCCAGGCATTCATACAAAATTAGTTTATTACTGCACTTTAGGATTAGCTCCAACATTACAAAGTAAAGCCAGTTCTCTTATTCTAGAAAAGAAAGAGTAGCTTGTTTTTGTGCCCTCAAGGAATTATATTGCTGCTAAAGGCCAGTGATAAGGAAGGTGAGGGAAAGTTCAGCCCTTTAATTTATTACAAGGTATACTTTTTAAAACAAGTATTCAAATGTGAAGCTTCACAAATCATTCATATCAACACTAACAAATGAAAAGCTATTTCTGCACGGTAGAGCCAGGTTATGTTAGTAGTTGTAGTTGGTAGTAAATGAATAACCCAGTCACTTCATAGGGCTTGAGTTGAGTTGTGCCCAGGAACTCTTCCAGGCACCTCATTTATGTTGACTGTTTTAATCCTCACCACCAGATGAAGTGGATACTACAATCCACATTACATGAGGAGAAAACAGAAGGACAGGTCACAAGATTAGTATTTATTTTTAGTAACTGCAAGACTTTTAACATATTGTGTCGGTGACTTATTTGACATTTTCGTAGTAAAATGCATCAAAGAAGGTAAAAATGGCCTTTTAGTGCTTTTTAAAAAACTATTAATCCCAAAAATTGATAAAGATAGACCTCAGTGACTAAACAAAGGCTAATTAGGCTAGTAAACTTTAAAGTATTTAGAGACCTAACCTCCACAGTTAGAGACCTAAAAAAACCATATGTGTTTCCGGGGTAGGACGAACCAATATAGTGAAAATGTCCATACTTCCAAAACTGCTATAAAGATTCAATGCAATCCTGATTGAAATCCCAACAGCATATTTCACAGAACTAGAGAAAACAATCCAAAAGTTCATCTGGAACCAGAAGAGACCTAGAATAGCAAAAGCAATTCTAGGCAACAGGGTCGTGGCAGGGAGTATCACAGTCCCCAACTTGAAACTGTTACTACAAAACCACTGTGATAAAAACAGCATGGTACTGGCAAAGAAACAGATCTGAGGACCAGTGGAACAGATTAGAAGATGCAGAAACAACTCCAGACATACTCAGCTACCTCATCTTTGACAAAGGAGCCAACCATCCTCACTGGAGGAAAGATAGCCTCTTTAATAAATGGTGTTGAAAAAACTGGATTTCAACTTGACAAAGATTAAAACTAGACCCCTGTCTTTCACCATGCACTAAACTAAAATCGAAGTGGATTAAAGATCTAAATACTAAAACAGAAACACTAAACTTGCTGGAAGATAAGTTAGGTAGAACTCTCGAAGTCATTGGCATTGGAAAGGACTTTATGTACAAAACCTCAGTAGCACGGGAACTAGCACAAAGAATCAACAACTGGGATCTCATCTTATTAAAAAGCTCTTGCATTGCAAGAGAAATCAGCAACAGAGCTAAGAGACAACCTACAATGTGGGAAAAAAATTTAAGCAGCTGTACCTCAGACAAAGGTCTACTATCTAGAATATATAAAGGGTTGAAAAAAATCAGACCCCCCCAAATTCAAAGACCCAATTCAAAAATGGGCATCTGAAATTAACAGACATTTGTCAGGCAAAGAAATAAAAGCAACAAATAAAGATATGAAAAAATGGTCAACGTCACTCGTCATTTGAGAGATGCAGATGAAAACAATGCTGAGATTCCACCTCACAACAGAAAGAGTGACTGCTATCAAGAAATCAACCAATAACAAATGCTGGCAGTGGTGTGGGGAGAAAGGAACCCTTCTCCATTGTTGGTGGGAGTGCAGACTGGTGCAACCACTGTGGAAATCAGTATGGAGATACCTCAGAGAACTAGGACTACAGGTCCCATTTGACCCAGCTATTCCCCTGCTGGGTATCTTCCCAAAAGAATTAAAAGAATGATACCACAGTGATATATGCACTCCCATGTTTATAGTGGCACAGTTTGTAATAGCTGAAGCTTGGAAACAGCCCAAGTGCCCATCAACTGGAAACTGGATAAAGAAGATGTGATTTTTTTATAAAATGGAGTACTACTCAGCCATAAAGAATGAGAAACTGGAGACACTTGTAGCTAAGTGGATGCACATTGAGGACATACTCTTAAGAGAAATAAATAGGACACACGTGTAAATACTGAATAGTTTCTCTGGTGTGAAAAACTAAAAGTAAATAAGAATCAATGTATAATTGATACCATGAAATAGAAAATGTCTAAAGGAGTAGGGGAAGTGGGAGGGGTAGGGAAGAGGAAGGAAGGGGAAAAAATATGAGAAAAGGGAAAACATGGAAAACAAAGTCTTTGTAAATAGGGAAGAATGGAGGGTGAAGGGAGGGCAGAGGAATGGGAAAAATATGAGAACCAAGATTTATCATGTAAAGGTACAAGCTCCCAATGATGAATGTAACTGTATTGTATACCTAAAACGTACCAGTAAACTAAATGGGAAAAAAAAACCCTCTCTGTACCTGTGCACATGCACATGCATGTGCATACACTCACCTACATGGAGAGAGACCTTATTTTTAAATCTCCACAAATATGCTTAATTACTATTAATAATTAATAAAGAGCTCGCTGATGAAGTGAATGTAGCAAATGTCTTAAATTTTAGAGTGAAATCTGAATTAGAAATTATTTTTATCATTAGAACACATACACCAGAGAAACTTGCTTTTAATTTTTAAAGTGCACTATTCTAGCCATAAGGGATATGCTGTGAACGTAACCAAAATCCCTACCTTCATGGGACCTACATTGTATTTAGGGGTGGGGAAGCAGAAAAAATGTATGTAATTGTGTGTTATATAATGCTAGAAGGTAATAAATACTGTGGAGAAAAATACAGCAAAATACTTCTTTGGTGAGAGCAGAGAAAGATACAAGAAAGCAAATATGCAGGTATCCGAGAGAAAAGTACTCCAGCAGAGGCTACATGCCAGAAACGTAGCTAGCATGTTCAAGGAACAGCAAGGAGGACTTAGCTGGAGATGAATAGAAGAAACAGGCAGCCAGAACATATGGAGGGCATTAAAGCTATTGTCTAAACTTTGGTCTTAACTCAAAGATCAGGAACCATTGGACAATTTTATTTTTAAAACAATTTTTTTTCATAGTAAATCGTGTAGTACATAATGTTTACATTCTTTGTGGGGAGTTGATACATATACATAGTACATCTCAATTCCTTTTTTTTTTCCCTTCCCCTCTTCCCCCGTCCTCCAATTTGATCCCCTTCCTTTTTTTCTTTTTTTTTTTTTGGTGCATATTTGCAGCACATAATGCTTACTTTTCTTGTGTGGAGTTGGTCCATGTACGTGACACATCTTAATTCCTTTTATCACCTTTTGTCCTTCCTTCCCCTCACTCTTCACATCTTGATTGCCTTCCCCTTTGAGGAAGCTCTATCTCCCTACTTCCTATTATCTGTTATTTTGTGCTTTATTTATACTTTGGGTTTCTCATACAAGAACTATGCAATGTATAAGCTTGTATACCTGGTTTACTTAACATTATGGTCTCAAGTTGCATCCATTTCCTATGGACGATTTTAAACTGAAGAATGACACTATTTTAGTTCAGGCTCTTACAGGATCATGCTGGCTGCTGTGTTGAGAGTAGATGTTAGAGAGCATGGGTGAAAGCTCACAGACTTGCAGTAATCTAGTCAATAATCTAGTCAAGATGATGGTGGTTTGGATGTAGGGTGATTATGGTAGTCATTCTGAAAGTGGTCAGTTCCTGGGTTTTTTAACAGTTGGAGCCAGCAGGATTTGCTAATAATCTGTATATACATCAAATTTAGAGGAGTCAAGAACTGCAGGAAGTGTAAATTTTTGGTTTGAGGAACTGAAAGAATAGAGTTGTGGTTAAAGTGGGGAATGCCAGAGGAGTGGCCCTGGATTCAGTCCCCAACACCATAGAAGAAAGTAGAAGCACCTTAAATATGAATTTTCATAGATAATTTCTGAAATAGTTGAATTAGTCATAGGCCGTCCATTGTACAATTTCCCATTTAGTACTGGGGTAATAATAGCTTAAAATAAATGGAATATTATCTTCATTATGTTTGCATTGTTTATAAACATTTTAATAAAACTTATTTTCCCTAAAAAACATAGAATAAAGTGAACTTTTGAAATTTGCCTTATTCTTCCACTGAGACTGAATAACAGTCATAACATGAATGTCAGCCTCCTCACTTAATCTGTGAATGGTATCATTTTATCTTTTTGTCTTCAGTGTGTGGTAGTAGTGCTGAACATGTACATAATCAGTAAATATTTGTCATTTGAATGAATAGAAAAATGTGTTGTTTTATGAGTTCAGAGATTCAAATTTTTTTTCAATGTAAAGCTTCATTCTTATGTTAGTATCTAATATTTAAGGAGTTTTTCACTGATATTTTTGTTTAAATTTTTATTAAAAAATGGAAAGAAATTAATGAGACATACTAATAGAAGTTTTTGGCACAAACCATTTTTTCTGCTGGGGAACAACCATTGTTTTTTAAAATTTTAAGTCAATATTATAAAAAGGACAGCTTTAAAACAGATTTTCAAGGATTTATATCTGCATAACACCTGAATTGTCTCTAGTGTAATTGGGCCAAGAGGAAAGAAGAAGCTACACAACACACTTTGTCACTAAAGTATTAGTAAATTGGTAGCATCTGTTAATCTTCCAATGTGGAAATTGGAAGAAGGTAAATAGTGCCACCAAGTGGTGGTACTAAGGAACTTTAATCACTTGGAAATAGCTAATCAACTGTTTTCTTTTCAACAGTTTTCCATCCAATTATCTTTCTAACAACAATCAGACTTCTGGAACTCCCGTGCCATCTACTTTATCAAATGCAGTTGGTTCTTCTGCCATGGCTTCAACCAGTGGCCTAGGAATCACCTCTCCTTCCAACGTCACTGACCTTAAGGAGTCAAGTGGCAGCAGGAAGGCCAGGGTTCTCTATGACTATGATGCTGCAAACAGTACTGAGTTGTCCCTTCTGGCAGATGAGGTAAGTGATGTGGGTGTGAGAAGAGAAATATATCATCAGTTGACCCACCTTCTAATAGCACAGCAAGATGCAGATTCCTCGTTGCTTACTGAGAAAGTTTACCATGAATGTACCATGGATTTCAGATGGTTATATTGATACTTTATAAAATGCTAATTCTTTAATATAATTCAACATCACAGAAATATTTTAAATTTTCACCTACTAAATAACTTGTTATATAAGCTTACCTCCTGATAATGTTTAAAGTCCTTTGACAATGAATAGCTTAAGCAAATTACATACACATCTGGTTTGTTTGCTGTGTTTGTTTTTTGATATAATTAATAACTTGAAATATCTTACTTTGTAGGTGATCTCTGTGTTCAGTGTCGTTGGCATGGATTCAGACTGGCTAATGGGGGAAAGGGGAAATCAGAAGGGCAAAGTGCCGATTACCTACTTAGAACTGCTCAATTAAATAAGTGGACTATGAAAAAACTACTCATCATGACATCTTATTTATATATAAATAACTAAATAAATCAGGTTTAAGTATCTTCCATGGTAATGACTTAAGAGACTGGAACACAAAAACAAAAACCCAGCCATCAGAAACCAGCCTTTCTGCCGATAAAGTTGCATGGTAAATATTTCATTAAGAGTTTGTTAGCGCTTTCATGCCAAGAATGTTTTCTTACAAAATTCTCTTTCTACTGAGATTTCACTAATAAGCTCCTTCTACTTTTGAGCCCCAATTTAAGGCAGAACTGTTTTCTACTGAATTTTTCATTAACTGCAAGTTTTTTCTTTCATGTAAAATAAATTTATTGTGAATTGCTATCAGTGACTCATTTATTAGGTATAATTAATAGCCAAAGAATAAAGTTAAAATTTGATTTCAACTTTTGGTTTAAAAAAGAATTGTAGGATATAATCTCCTTTATGAAGAATATAATGTTTTTTAATGCATCCATGAACAGAAATGCAGTTAATGCCTATTTACCTTGTCCAACAGGAATCAGATGACTTTAATACTATGTTTAATGTATGTTTTGATGGGTTATTTTTTAGTTTTTTTGTCTTTTTCTTTTTTTTGGTTTCTTTTTATTTTTGGTACTGAGGATCGAACTCAGGACCTTGTGCTTACAAGGCAGGCAGCGGCACCACTGAGCTAAATCCCTGGCCCCTATTTTTTAAATTTTTGAGACAGCGTCTCACTATGTAGTTCAGGCTGGCCTTGAACTCACTATATAGCCCAAGCTGGCCTCGAACTCTTGGCAATCCTTCTGCCTCAGCCTCCCAAGTGCTGGGATTACCAGTGTGTGCCACCACACCTGGCTGTTTTCTTTTTAAAACATTACTGAATCTTTTTTTTTAATTTAAGAAACAACTAGCCCTTGAAAAACATTACTAAATTTCCCTGATACAATTGTATTTAAGATTCTAAAATATCTGGAACAAATTCAGTTCATTAAGATTGCCACAAGTTAATACACAATCAATTTTATTCATTAACATACTGTAGGGCTACGGATTTAGCTCAGTGGTTCCACCACCTGCCTTGCAAGTGCAAGGTCCCGAGTTCGATCTCCGGTTCCAAAAAAAAAAAAGAGAGAGAACCTACTGCAGTACAGTAAAGAGGGTTTGTTATTGAATAACAAATTATATAAATATGAATTATGGGTACTGCATTATAAATTATATATAAACTTTTGGTTACTCTAGGCTTACTAATAAAGCTTTGAAAATTTATTAATGAATATAGGTTATCATAATCAGGATTTCTGATTATGAAGCACACAGTATCATTAGTAACGATTTGAAGCTAGAAAATTGCTATTCGGGCCAATGCTGTGTGAGTCGGCAATTGCAATAAATCAGCAGATTGATAAATTTTGTTTTGTTTTGTTTTAGGATTTCTGTTCTCATTCATTCAACAAATATTTGTTGAGAGCCAGATACTATGTTGATCAACTCGGGATGATACCATGAACAAGAGGCACATAGTCCTTGCCCATGTAGAGCTTAAAGAGGAGGATGCAGAAAATAAAGCAGTTGTTCTGTAACAGTTAGTGTTATGAAGGAAAAAAAGGCACTGTGTTTAGGAATCATCTAACTCGGCAGAGTGAGAAATGGTTTGGGATGGAAGTGTTACGGGTAGGAAAAAGATGTGCCCAGCCTAGAGGCGAGTGCCTAAGTAGTTCAGTCTGACTTACGTATGGAGTACAAAGTGTATTTCATTTTTTCGGGGAATGTTAATCTATCAAAATGATTTTTTGATGTTTTTTAAAAATTAATATTTAAACATCATTTTTAAATAATCCTCTTTTGTTAAGAGCTCCTAATAAGAGCTTGGTAAACATGTTAGTAATTTTAGTTCACTGTCCAGACTTTAACTGGAGTTGTTACCCTTTATCTGTGCTATAAGACAGCCCTCTGAATTTTATAGTTTCACAGGACGCTTTGACTCCCTATAAATTGCCATACTGCTAGAATACCAGCTACTATTTAAGTCCAGATTTAGGCTTTGAAACATAACAGAAATTTCGTAACAGAAATTTAGGTCAACTTAAACAACAATTTAAATTAGGTTTATGGGAAGTAGAATAATAAAGGGGAAAGAGTATTGGAATGAATTGGTCCTGGTTTCATATCCAGCCATCCTCACATACTCTTGAGCCTCAGCTCAGACATTCCATACCAATGACGTGCCATTTCTTGTCAAAGATGGAGATAATTGTACCATCATGGTGTTATGGGATAATATAGCAAATGTTATGGTAGGTGCTTTTTAGGGAAAATCTTGGCATATAGTAAACACATTCTGTATTCTGTAAATACCAGTTTCCCCTTGTTAGCCTGGACCTACCCAGACTGTGGCCCTGTTCATGGTTGTGTATAAGAGAGGCCTCTTTTACATTCATACTTTGCTCACTCCCTATCAATTTCATTCTCTTTCTTTAAATCAGACCCAGATCTGGGTTTAACCTCACCACAGTCAGTGTAAAATCTTTATCAGAACCTTCTGCTTTCCATCAGGTGAATGTTAATTATTGAAGGCTTCTATACATTATTAGAGTACTATAATGTTAATAGGTTCAAAGACTTCTTGTGCCTTTGTCTTCCACAAATCCACCATTATATGTAGGTTTGTTCTTAGGACTGTTCTTATTTTAATCGGGTTTTGTTTGGTCGGGTAGGATGGTGGTGGTTGTTTTATTTTGGTTTTAGCTTAAAGTCATGGGTTTAGTTTTTACTCAGGTAATGGTCCAAAAAATTCTTAGGCATGGAAGAAAAAAGTTAGGAAGCCTATTAATTTATGGTGCAATTCAGAATTGTTTCAACCCCGTGCCCCTGATCATCCAAACGTACAGTAACGTGAAGCACACACACGTGAATAAAATAATAAACTTGGAAATATTTGTAGGTTCTTTTACCAACAAACAAAAAGTGAGTGATTGGATTGTATTTATCTTTATCCTCAATCTGACCTATAAGGTCATAGTGTTAGGAAAAATTTTTGGTGCTAATCAAAAAAATTCATACTATAGGAAATGCCTCATGGGGCCAAGATCCTCAGTGGGCTGCAGCCCATTCTTCTAGTCTGTTGTTATCCTTCATCCAGAAAGGAAGCTGGTGTTGGGAGGAAATTTCTAAGATGAACTGTAGAGAGGAAGGTGAGGGTCAGGACAATAAACAGCAGCCATGTTAACCCAAGGAGACCCAGCTTCTATAGTTTGTCAACAGGATTCCTAAAAAAGTCCCTTCCTTATCCCCAGGATCCCTGAAATTCTGGAATATATTGTCCTAGTTTCCCTTCGGGCCTGAGGGAGGAGCTGTAATGGAGAAATGGCCTCACAGCCAGTTTTTCTTCAACCCCTCCTCTGGATGATCAAGGCTCCTAGCTCATGGTGAGACTCCAAAGGTGGAGAGGAAATTCCTCAACCACACCTGTCCCCTCTCCCATGTCATCGTCCTAATTGGAAATTCTACTCAGTAGAGCAGTGGTTGTCATAGTTTGAAACCCCAGACCAAGGCTAGCTACATCGCCTGGAAAGTTGTTAAAAATGCTGATTACTATTTTCCAGTATTCGTTCTTTATTTGTACTTGGCTTTTTTCTTCGAGGGCCTCTGGAACTAGTGTTTGTTCATCATGTGACAGCTTTTTAAATGTTTAAAACAAAAATCTTTACTATGTTCTAACAAATAATTGTAATTATTTTAATAATTCATTTAGTAATATCTGTCACTCTAGAATGTAGACTTCCTGAGATACAGGCTATAATTCTTTTGATTCCAAACTCCCAAATCTTAGCAAAAGACCTAGCTCATGATATCTACTCAGTAAATACTTGTTTAATGAAAGAAAAGAATTTGAATTCCTAAGCCTTCCCCTGGACCTACTGAATGCAGCTCTGTGGGTGTGCCAAGCAATATGTTGTAAAAAACCATTTGAGTGACTCTGCTGCAATCTAAGGTTTGAGAACCACTGCAGAGCTAACAGAACTTTTCACCTTCAAGCCTACTGTCTGACATCACTTGAAAAATTCCTGCCTTATGTAACTCTTACAACATTACCCTCAAGGTTAGAGGAACCTTACTGCTCTCTTCCTACAAGTGAGTATGAAGGTATAAGGGTGTGTTTAGCGTCAGTGGAGGGTACTGCTTAGGATCCACGCTGCTGTGAAAGGAGTCTAGGAATATGGATCCTTTACACACATTTCCACTCAATGCAGTGCCTTTTAATTCATGACTAGTATCAAACACCCTGACAACCATTAGAGCAGTATTTGACTAACATGTACATCCCTGTGCCTCAGGTTGCTGAGCTATGCTCATTCTTTTTAAGAACTGTCAATGCTTCTTTTATAGTATAAGTCATAGCCATGTTGGTTAAAAAAATAGTTTAAAAAATCGCCTACAATTTCGGCATCCAGGGAAAACCACTGTTATTTAGCTATATGGCCTTCCAGACTCTTCTGTGTGTTATACATTTTTTTAAATGGGATCAAATTGTACATGCTGTTTTGTAACTTTTTCACTCAACAGTACCATGACTATCTTGCTGTGTCATGTATTTCTACATCTTTTCTAATACCTGCGTGATATTTCATTCTATGTGCCACCTTTTAGTAAACTACTGTTGAATTTTTAGGTTTCTAGTTTTTTCACTAATAAACTGCTTTAAAGAACATTGTGTTGCTAAATCTTTTATGTGTCCCTAATTGTTTCTTTAAGATGAATACTTTCAAGTAGAATTAGGAAGTATGCTAGCTTTTGTTTTTAAAGCTGTTGTCACCTTGACTCCTAGAAGGTTTTAGCAATTGACTTTTTTTTAGAATCAACAGTATATGAAAAAATACCACAGGGACTTGGGGCTGGGGGCTTGGTTTTTTGTTTTTGTTTTGGAGAGACTTTTTCAACTGAATGTTCTTAGAGTTTAAAAGTAAATGGGCGAAAGTTAGATAAAAATTGAAAGCACTCAATATTTCTGACATCACATCGTTTGTTTTCCCTTCTGTCATGTATTGTATGATACTTCAAAAAAGTATGTAAATACCTCCTCCCTCTTGTTTCTATTCATTCTCCTGAAAGTGTTATCACCTTTCTAAATTTTACTGAGATCACAGAAGAACCATCAGCTAGACTGCAACCTTCTGGTAGCTTTGATGCAGGCTTACTGCAGATGCTTTAAGGGAGCGTGGCAGTAGTGGGGAAAGTAGGACTTTGGGAGGCAGGCAGAACACTTGCTGTCCCACTGTAGACCTCTGAGCCTGCCACCTCATCTCTAGAGTGAGAATAATGTAAGCCCACCTAGTAGGATTGAAAAAAATTCCCATAGCAAAACAGCTGACACCTAGTACATAACAACTTAATAGGATTTCCAAAAGAGTATATTATAGTAGTTGGTATTGTCAGTCTCTGTGGAGTAAATATAATCTTCCTTGAAAGCCATCACAATAAATAGACATGGCCTTGTTCCTCCTACTGTACCTACAAAATCTGCTCTTAGAGTCTGGCTCATTTTTCCAGCCAGCTATTTGAACAGTGTAACCACAGACTCTCAAAGTGTCTAGTGCAGGCTTTCAACATCACCACATCTTTACAGTGATGTATCAGAATAATAATAGTTTCTTTAAATGGTGAGGGAGAATGTCAGCCAGGCCAGTCTTCCCTTCTGATAGAAACTGCCACACCCTTGGCCCGCTGGTGCCTTGGACGTTTACCTGTGAGGAGAGTAATTTTCACTAGCTAAGTCCCAATGTCCTCTCCAGGAATGGAGAACCTGGAATTGATTCATACATACTGAAAGACATTTATTTAGAGGAGTATAGTATGTGGCTTCTAACATGTCCAGAAAGCTAAATGCCCCAAAGTTACAACAGCAGTCATCAGAGCAGACAAAGCCCCAGAGACCAATCCATTTTAACATTTGGATCATTTGGATGAACCCCAATAAATATGAGTTAGCATGTGATTTGTTGCTGATGACTCCAACTATCCACCCAATGAGGAGTGAGTAGTAAGAGAACTTAAGGGAGTTGTAAAGAAGGTTATACAAGAGGCTCCAGGTTTATGAGAACAAGACAGCTGACTGATTTAAAGTAAGTAAAAGGAGATAAGCTACTGTTAGAAGCAACTTCTCTGAAAGCCTGATGCGCAAGTATTTAGGACACATGTTTCTGCCCAGTCTGATTCTAGTTTTCTGAAACTTGAGCTGTTGTAGATAGTTCCCAACAACCATGCACTTTGGTGCCTGCTGGCCTTTTGTATATAGTCTACTTGTGTCAAGAGCGAGCTTAAACATTCCCTTCCCTGAGAAGATATTCTGGACCCCCACGGGAAAGAATTGTATACACACACAACTATGTCATTTATTGACCTGAATTGCAATGACCTGCTAATGTAGCTGAGCTCAAGGACAGGGGTTTTGACTCTACTACCTAGAACACCTAAAGCTGAGTTTCAGTAAGCCCCATAGCAGCTTGCAGCATTCTCATTTCTACAGATTTATTAATGATTCAACTTCAATGCTCACAGGGGCGGGGATGTAGCTAAGTGGCACAGCACCTGCCTGGAAAGTGCCAGGTCCTGAGTTCGATCCCAGGTACCAAAAAAACAAACTTTGGTGCTCTTACATGTATTTGCCTAAGAAATATTGACCCTTTAGGATGTCAGTATCATAACACTATAGACCTTTTCTTAGTAAACCACACAATCTATTATTATTTCCCATTGACTGGTTAATTTTACAATGCTCATCACTAACCTGTACTTTGCAAAAGCACTAATTTATTAAAGTTTTGCTGGTTACATTTACACTTCAAGTTTAAGATCTGTCACCTCAATTTAGGGTTGCAGTGTTTCCGGTACTGAATGTTTCTATATAAATGTCCTCTAAACTGAGCTCAATTTATTTTTCCTCTCTTCTACCTCTTTTCCACACTTTTTTTCCATTTTTGTACCTACTCCCTCTCCCTACCTTCAAAACTGTATGCCACAAAACAGTATAAAAGCAAATGCACAAAGGAAAAGGACCAAATAATTGAAGAATGTAAAATAGAAAATTCTGCTCAGTTACGTGTGAAAAACAAATCTGACTCAGTCTGTCTCCTAGGAAGGAGGCAAGCAAGGAAGGAAGCATGTTCAAACTTGCAATTAACCATTTATGGATACAAACGTGCTGGTTGCTCAGGAGACAGCCACTCAAGCTCGCCAAAGGGGGCAAGGAAGACACCCTCATGCGCCAAAGGGAGTTCAGAGGCCAGCTTCTTGCCCTCACTCAAGGATTACATTTTGTGTGAATGCTGCATTGAAGTTTTGCTCAAACTTGGAATATAAGGCACAAAATGATTCACATTAACACTGAAATGCAATGATTCTGAGCCTTCTCCTGTCAGATCATTGGGAACTAGAGGATTCCCTCCCCATGCATATTTCTGAGACTCTCCAGGGACTTAAGTCCACAACTCAGTCAGCTTCTCCCTTCCACCCCTCTCACCCTCCTAGGCATGTAAGGAGGACCTTGCCCAGACACTGCTTCTTGCTGGCCCTAGACTTCACCCCTCACTTTCTTCAATGCTACCCTCTGTGCCTGCTCGCTGTGCCTCAGATACACAAGACAGAGCACCACGGCCACTTCTTCCTTCCCTAGTATGTTCAACCAAGGCATCTCAGAAAGCAAGTCTCTCTAAGCACAAGAGGATCTTAAAATTTACACACACACACCCAATCCTCCCAGGAGTAAACCCTCACCAGGATGTCTGATGAAGATAAGTTCCACCATTGGACACTGCAGACCTCGCACCAATGTTCTCCTTTGTCCCATAGCCTTAGGCGACAGGAGCTGGTCATCAGTTTACTCCATTTGTCTTTATGAGTGAGCCCCTCTTACAGGCATGTTACCCTATCCAACACTGTGGCTTTGATTAGGACCATCTCACAACATCTACATGTTTTAACATATTTGGAACTCAATGGTTGGAGTCAGAATCCTACCCTATTGCTAGGGCCCTACCCTATTTCTATCACTATAAAATAAGACAGGATGTCTTATTGTAAAACCACCTCTCACAGAAATTAAGACTATAGACTTTGGAATCAAAGAAGCAAAATTTTCAAGTCCCATTTATACCACTTATTAGCTGAGTGTTGGGCAGTTTACATAATCTCAATTTCTATTTCTTAATCTATGAAAGACATTGAAATGCCTAGCTCCTAGGTTTGTAGCAATCAGTAGTTCTCAATACATGGGTCCCACACCAGCAGTATCAGTAACACCTAGAAATAAATTCTTGGGCCCCTACTGAATCAGAAATCCCAGGTCCAGGGCAGAGCAAAAGGTTAACAAGCCCTTGGGTGATCTGATGCATGCAGAAATGGGCAAGCTACTAGTTGTGAGGATTAAAAGAAACAACATAAGGGACTGACTTGGTAACTGGTATGTAGTAAATACTTAACAATTCCTAGCTACTATTTTTATCACTATTGGAACTTCTAAAGTAATGAATGAACTTTTCAACCAAAGTTCTCCTCTCAAAGCTTTTCGTAACAGTTCGGCAGCTGAAGTCTTGAGGTTAAGATCTCTGGTGATATAGGAATACAAATTCCTGTACTATACTTTAATCACATGTAGAAAATGACTTGAAATTCTTTTTACCAGATATTAACTGAAATATGTATACAAAGTCACTTCACCCCTGCAAAAAGGAGTACTGAGAAAAGGCCAAGACTTTTCTCTGAAAATTGTTCAAGATCTGCTACTATACATGAAGCGGGGGGAGCAATTGAAGTTCTAATATTCTATATCATAAATTATAAACGTGGTCATTTTGAACTGAAATTCTTCAAAATATATGTTGGCAATTACATGGTGTGGTTATAAAACAATTTCTACCACACATTCATTAAATGGGTAACTTTATTCCATGCACCTTCCTGGTGAATGTCTCAAGATAAATGTATTTCATAACACACCCCTGAAAAACCAAATGAATTTAACTTTCACATAGAGTGTTTGGATAGAAACCAATTAGATGTTACAGGAGACTAAAATAATTGTGGTTTTAGAATCATTCACCATAAGCATTTTTTCTGAGTTTTTATACAGCAAGTCCAGTGGAAATTAAATTTGTGGTTATGTACCCTCAGGTAAATTACTCACTTAACCTCTTAGGGCTGTAGATTTCTCAGCTATAAAGTGAGGATATTAAACCAGGTAATCTGTAAGATCCCATTAGCTCTTGCATCCTAACATGCTCTTCAAAACCCAGTTGTTCATGTTTTAATAACTAATGTTAAACCCCAAATTATTAATGACCTTGAGTGGCATACATAGTTCTACTGGAATGTATTTGATGGGGTTATTTCCTTTATATTTTATTTTACAATACAAAGCTCAGTTTGAATTTTCGAGAAAAGGCGTAATGACACCTCCTGAGCAATTCCTTTGGAAATCCTTCTCTGCCTGAACTGACCTAGACCTCGCCTCAGAGGATAGGACCCACTTTATGCTCAGACTTTCTAGCAGGTTCTAATGAGCATATATGAACATTGGTACTAACCATCTTAGGTATTGTTGGGTTTTTACATCCTCTTGGGAACTACTACTAACATTTCTTGTTACTAACATTGCTAACATTTATTGATTTATTGTTTATGTAAATTCCCTTATTTTATTTATTTATTTATTTTTGTACCAAGGATCAAACTCAGGACCTTGTGCTTGCGAGGCAGGCAGCAGCACCACAGAGCTAAATCCCCGGCCCTAACATTCCCTTCTTTAAACCTAGCACAAGAAAGTATATTTGCTCCCCTTTTACAAATGAGAAAACAGCTGAGAAAGCCATTCAACCAGAAAGTGGCAAAACTAGGTCTTCTTGCTTATCTTCCCAGCTGCAATGCTCAAATTCTTCGTCCATGTGTAACACATACCCGTTTTTTGATATGTGTCCCCAAATACAGTTACTGACCCTTTATTTCCTGGGTAACTTTTTGGCATGTGTTATTATTTATTGTTTCTGGATAGCATTTCTTGAGGCACAAAAGAATTGCTTTTAACATAAAATAGCTATAAATCACCGCTTAATCAACTGAAAATACCTACAAAGGTCATTAAGCCAAGTGGGATATGCCAGGCCATCACTGCCAGAGCAGAAAGTGCAGAGAAATTAGCTATGGCTGGAGTCAGAGTTCTCTGTCAGCCCCAGAATCTCCGTAATCTCAGCTTCTGAAGTGATTCTAACGTACATTTCTGAGAACCACTTGTTTAAATAAAGCAGAGAAACAAACTCCTTTCAGTATCTCACTTTAAAGCTGACATACTTGCAGAAACAATAAATAACACATCCCAAAATATAACTCCAAGCTATTAAAATGAAAGGCAATACCATTCTACTGACTCTTTAAATTAAGTAGGCTGTTCACTCACAAGTAACTTGATAAGCGAGTAAAAATGCACAGAATATAATTTTGCTAGGAACTGGAAAAAGAGGCTGTGGATTACAAGAGTTTATTCTGAAATTCAGCTATAAGAGAATATACTCTCTATATTTGTGTCTTATCAAGGTGCTCTGCAACTTTATTCTTAGTTTCCAGTGAGGGGCATATAATCCCTCTTTGTCAGGACGAGACCATTCCTTGGTGTTTATCAGAGGCCAGTCACTGTGTAGAGTGCTTTACACACATCATCTAGTTTCATTCTTGGAGCAACACAATGCAATTGATAGTTGTCCCCACTCTACAGATGAGAAAACTGAAGTTTAGATAGAGACATTCAGTGTGAACCTACTATGCTCATTTCAAGGCTCTTCAGTTGCTAGAGAAGATAGCTTTCCTGAGCTGTGTCTTCATTTCCTGTCCCTTTCCTATCCTGATGCTAGTTCCTCTCAATCCCCTACCCCAAGACTGTCAGACACCAGAAGCCAACACTCTGTCACGTCCCGTTCCCACTCTTCCTTTAACTCCAACATGATGCCCTTGCTGGCTAATTTTAAGTCAAATTTCTACAAATTTGAGCTGTTAAACATCCAGACAGCTCCCCCAGAAATGCTGCTGAGATTCGGGGCCCATGGGAGCTGAGGGACAAAGAATGCCCAGCAGAAATAGCAGAAGCATAACTTAAGATGTGGGACCTGAGTCAACAGTGATGCTGAACACAGATATATGGAACAGCTAGCAAAGAGAACATCGGAAAGTGTGATTGGTCAAGAGAAATTAAGGAAAGCGTAATTATTTACATAAATAGCTTACCATTTCTGCTTCACTGCCATACAGCGCAACTAGCACGTAAATGATTAAACGAGTTGGCTTAACTTTGCAGGCTTGGATTATTTTGTTAGAATAGTATCTTCTTTAATGCAATAAGGATGCTACATTCCAGAGTTCACTGAACATGCAGTAGTTGTCTACTCCCTACTTCAGAGTTGGAGTGGTCATTGGTCATACCCATATTTCCCTAGATTAGAGAGCATACATCCATGAGTACTCATATACTCAAAGACAAAAGTGAAGAAAAAATCCCTCAGTTTAGCAACGAACAAATATTAGGATTGACCTAGAAACCTGTGAAGCTCTTAGCAGCCAGGTCTTCATAAGAAACTCTCCTGGCTGCAGATGAGCGATTCCTTCCACTTGTGGTCATTTGCTTTATTTGCTGCAGCTTCACATCACTGATCACAGGAACCACAGGAATGGGCAGGGTGGCTGGGCAGGTATTCCTCTGCTTGTCTGCTCGACCCCTTCCCCAGGTTCCCCTCCTAAAAGTCTCATCAATAGAAACCTTGCAACTGTAGAGGGAAAATGAAATAATAACAGTAATGGCAGTGATATAAGTGCTTACTGCTCACCAGGCACTGCACTAAAAGTGATTTATACTCATTATCTCATTCTCACAACCTGTGAGGTAGGTACTGCTCTTACCTGTGTTTTACAAAAGGGAAACGGAAGGGTCTTAAATCACATGGCCTGGTAGAGTGGCAGAGGCTGGGCTTTGACCCAGCGCTTCCTAGTTCCAAATGACTTGCTCTAAATTTCTACAGAGGGCTCCCCAATGAACTATTTATTACACCATTTAACCTGGCCATGGCTTAAAATGGATAGGAGGAGCAGAGACCTATCCTTTTTGTAACCAAGGTAGAATGCAGCTTCTAAAATGCATTGGAACAATCAGTGCAAGCACATTGATAGGGTTGCTGCTCAGTGGATGGGTTCCCTTTCCTCTAGTTCCCTAAACCCCATGCTGTGCACCGTGTGGTACTTCCAGCAGTGAGCCAGGACCCCTCCTAGACCCTTCTTCAGTGCAGAAATGAGCACTTCTCCTATTTGCACCAAAATCTATTTAACCCATAGTGTGACTGAAAATTGACAGTGCAGTGGAACACTGTAGAGTTGCTGAAAACCCTTAAATTTCTCAGACCACAGGTTTATTCATGCCCTTTAGTCCCAAAGTACTGACAAGTATGGAGTAGGAAACTGTAACAGCGAGTATTGAAGGAGCACTTACCAAATGCTTGGCAGGGATCTACACTCACATTATAGGTTAAATGGATTTTGGTGCACTGACCTGGGAAGCTCATCAGTGTGCTCTGTGTTCCAAGCAATTGGCTCTCCAAAGACCACGTGGACCAGTTACTGAGATGAGCTGAGGAGACTGGAGCGAAAAGGAGAAGTGCTCATTTTCTGCACTAAAGAGAAGGCTAGGAAGGGTCCTGGCTCACTGCTGGAAGTACCACAGAGGTGCATTATCTCTTTGACCTTCAAAGCAGCTGTAGGCAGTCAGCACAATTATCAGGCTCAAGAAATGGAGGCATAGAGAAGTTAGGTGGTTTCCTGAGGTCCCAGAGCTGATATAGAGGTGGGGACACAGATAGCCAGGGAAATAATGGGATTAAGGCCTCAGTAAACTCTCTGGCAAATCCTGACTGGAAAGAGTTAAACCTTTGCTGGAAGGAGCAATTAGGATAGAACCGATAAACAGCACTGGCTCTGCCAGGGCCCCCAGCTAAAGTTAGCTGCCCTCCCCACCTCCAGGAAAGTACAAAGGAGACAAAATGAGGAGGAAGCTACAAAACAGAAAACTCAGCATATAAAATATATGCTCACACCTAAACACACACACCTATGCAGACAGACAGACATAGACACAGTCCCACTCTAGGGCCACCATATCAGCACACTCATCCCTTTACTCAATTGTTAACTTTACCTTGTATTTAATGACCTTTTTAACAAACTCATAAATTCTAAAGATAAGGCCCTGACAGGACAAAGAAATCCAAATGAAACTCACTTAGAAATTTGCACATAGGAGGTAGTGCCTGAGTTAAGGGTCTTGGTTTCTGGATCCCTCTATGACAGCCCAGAGAACCAATCAGATTGTGACAGCTTCTAGGTAGGGGGAAGGGCCCAAGCACCCAATAAAAGCAGCCAGAACAAAGGGCCCAGGTTCTCCACCACTCTGTGCCCCCCCACCCTGATTTGGGTAGCTATCTCCTCCTTTTTCCCCCTTTCCAATGAAGTGTCCAATAAAATGTCTACCTTTCCTTAAACTTTGTATCTTTAATCCTTTACTGGTAAGGAGTCTGCAATCTCGGTGAACAGCTCAGACGAAGAGAGCAGAGGAGCTGGAGCTATGCTGCACACCTCCTGCCATGACAGTGACAAGTGACTGAAGCCAGAACAGAGCCCAGGCAGTCGGGATGCACAGCCAGTTTGACTAGCCACTGTTCTGTATGGCCTCAGTGGGTCTTTAGTTGTCTGAGCTAGGAAGAGGACCTGACTAGGTGGAGGCTCTGCTATGCAGGCAGCTCCTGTAATGTGAGGGTGGAAATCCCTCAAGCCAGGAGGTGGGGAGTGGGCTGGATGGGAGCCCTGAAAGGTGAGGAAGAGTGTGGCAGGGACTTCCACACAAGCTTCTGTGCCTTCAGAAGAGGAAGGGGTCAGTGCAAAGGAAGGGCTGGTGGATCAGCCCTGAGAATTGACAGACCTAATGTACAAAAGAATGAGCGGGTTGCTCTTTCCTGTGCAGAGCTTCTCCTGCAGCTATGAGCCCGACCTTGGGCAAGTTACTTCCGCATGCATGAGACCATAACGACTCCCACCTGGAGAACCTTGTGGGGCTTACAGCAGATAATTTGCCGGAAGTACAGTAGTTTTCTCCAGTACCTGGCACTCACTCATTGCAACTGTCCTCTAATGAGTATGACTGTTATTATTGCACCACATCGTTTGATTCTGAAAAAAGCCAAAATACATTACAAAGCCCTCCTCAATTAAGACTGCTATGGTAAGCTGGCAGGAAGGAGGTTTTATGCCAAAGTGGTGCTGCTGCGCTGAATGGCAGTCAGCAGCACTGTTCTCCCTCACCTCTGCTACTGAAAGGCATAATTCCGGTCCCCTTCCCAGCACCACCAACAAGAGGCATAATGAACGAGTTCCTTCTCTTCAATTCTACTTTGTCACTCTCAGAGCCTAGGGCTAAGAAGCTATGGTGTGGGGGAACACAGCTGGCAGGGCCACAAGGCACCCAACCCGAGCAGACCCTGCATAATCAGGCTTGAGAACAAGCCATAATTTAATCTGAAATGGTCTCTAATGCTGATGGGGGGGGTGGGGCAAGAACAGAGGAGAGAAAACAGATGCCTCTTGAAGTTTTTCATCAAAAATCTAATGAACCATACTTTATGGATGCAGTGGTGTTTTATGATCTAAACTGCAATTCTTTAAAATGTCTAGGTCCAGAGCCAACTTGCTGTCTTGTCTCCATCCCACTGCCAAGGAAAGCATTGCTCCTTTGTCACTGCCGATGTTAGTTTTTGATTGGCAAAAAAGATGGATGGATCCTAAGCTTAACATTTGGTTCCACCATCTCTTGTTATATATTAGCTAAAGAGGTTTCGGAGGACACAGCAGAGACATTATATGGAAATCAATAACAGCTTTTCTTTTGTGTTCAAACCATGAATACTGACTAGCTAATTTTCATGGCATCCCTGTAAGAGAGTTTTATTATCTGCTCCAATTCAATTCTTTCTTAGCATTTTAATCAGTCTAGATTATTTGAATTTATCTCCTTGGAAAGATTTTTGCCAGCACCCTCCATTTTCATCAGATCTTTTTGTCATGGCCAAAAGCAGCCAGCACAATGAGATGCTGTGGAGTGGGGCAGATGAGCAGGACAGAGAATCAAACAAGGCACTGACGTGATCTGACACACACGGTTAGGTTAGAGGGGGCAGGCGAGGGGCCACGCCCCAGAAGGAACTGCCAGGAGGAATAGCAGGCACTTTCATAGAATGAAATATACCCAGCACTCTCCTGGGGGATGAAGCTATAACTACTACACGGGTGACATAGAGCTCTTCTCTCAAGGAGCGTTAGTCTACAGGGCTGGACTGTCAGCCACGACACAATGGTAGGTTAGAGCTATTAATTCCTTTCTGCTTAGGTTAGAATTGACTGAGACAAGGTGTCTGGTTAGCTATTGCTATATTTAAAAAAGTCAAAATCTAATGACTTAAAAAAACAATTCCTTTATTAGCTCTCAAGGTTTCTGTGGATCAGGAACTGGGGAAGAGCTTGTCTGCAGAGCTCTGGTCTGTCATGAGGTTGAAGTCAAGTGGCTAAAGAAGCTGGGTGCTACCGAGGCATCTCTCTCTACTTACATCGTTGGAGGGCTGCTTCATGTGGTGTCTCCACGAGTTAGGGCTTCCTCGTTGCTCAGTGGCCCCAGGGTAATTGAAACTTCTAAGGTAGAGTCCTTAGGGCTCTAGTGCAAGTTTTACATTGAGCAAAGCAGAAGCTGTATCACCTTTTCTTGTTTGTTTTTTAAATGATAGTAAAAGTAGATATAATTAAATTTTCCATAACCACTTAAATGCAGTTCTGTGGTGTTGAGTACATTCACAGTTATAATTTCCAAAACTTTTTTATCTTACAAAACTGAGACTCTATACCCATTAAATAATAATTCCCCATTTTCCTCTGCCCCAGTCCTCTGAAAAGCACCATTCTACTTTCTGTTTCTATGACTGACTGCTTTAGATACCTCATATAAGTGGAAGCATCTATAGTTTTAAAAGCTAACAATATCCCATTGTGTAGATACCACATTTTCTTTCTCCATTCATTTGTCAGTAGGCATTGAGGTTGCTCCTACCTGTTGGCTAGTGAGAATCTTGCTGGTTATAAACATGGTTGTGCAAATATCTGCTTGAGCCCCTGCTCACTCCATCAGCCTTTAAGACTAAGCCTTGGAAGTCCTGTTATATCACTTCCTCAATGTCACAAGCCCACTCGGACTCAAAGTGAGGGAACATAGGTGGGAAGAATATCCAAGTCAAGTTATGAGAAGAGCATGTAGAGTACAAGATGTTGGCAGAGCCAACAAGTCTATCCAACAAGACTCCACATAGAAACGGAGAGTATCAGGGGAACCCATTAGGGAAAGGTCTTCAGTTGTGGGGAAAGAAAAATGACATTTTGGTATTCAGATATCTACCATAGCAATGAAGGTCGTGGATGAAGACTGCTCCTATTCTGTTTCCTATAGAAAATAGCACCTCCCTGCTTTCTGACAGTTTATCCTGCTTTAGTCTTCTCCATATCACTTACCTCCCACCTCCCCACAGTACTTAATCCCTTGTTTATTACATGTTTGTTTCCACAAGAACATAAATTCCAAAAAACCAAGAATCCTTTTCTTATTAGCTTTTCTACTCCAGAGTCTAGCATGGAACCTGACACATAGTAAGCATTCAATATATCTGTACTGAATGAATGAATGGATGGATTAAAGAAAGATGGAAATTTAATTTGAATGATGTGTTTTAAAGTGGAGTCGAGTTGTCTGGTATATCTAGTCTCTTCTCTTTCAATCTGTGACGCCTTCAAGGAGCTATTTAAGCTAGACATGGTGGTACATGTCTGTAATTCAATCATTCTGGGAGACTGAGACAGGAGGAGTGCAAGTTTGAGTTGACCCCAGTAACTCAGTGATTTAACAAGACACTGTCTCAAAATTATATTTATATATTAGGTCAGTATGAAAGTACTGGCTACTGAAATAAAGGGAGGGGCAATTTAAGGAGAGAAGGGAGTGGTTAGCAAGGTGATTGATGCTCAAATTTAGTTTAACAGTGATCAACAGAAAGTTGGGTTCACGGAATAGAGCCCTGACAAAGGAACTCCCCAGAACTCATGTAGTCCACCTCCCTCTTTTGGCAGAGGGGACAGTTGAGCCTGAGCATTGAAGAGCCCTGCCCAAGACCACACAGAGCCAAGACTAAAACTTGGGAGCCTGAGTTCCCTGACTCATCAGATGACCTGGGTGAGTCAAGAGATAGAAAACTGTCTCATTATCGAGAAAGAGGTGTCTAAGCCCTTTCCATGTTTTCCTGTGGGTGTGGCAGATGCCCCTGTGCCCTGCATTGCAGCTGTGAGGGAGCCTCTCCTCAAGTGTCCCTGGCCTTGTTCTTCCATCTCAGGACACAATCCAAAACTGTAGCCCCCCCGCCCACCCCCATGAAGCCTGCATACAGGAAGAGGCTAAAGCCCCCAGGGTCAATGTTCAAAGGAGAGTGGGAGCCACTGGACAAATGCCCCAACCTTCTGACCCAGGAATGGACAATTCTAGAAGCCATCCTGTGGGCTTCAATGGTCCCAGCAGAATCAAATCCCTGTACCC